GGCAGTCACTTACAAAACCGCACACACTTTTGGCATATGACATAGCCTCTGTGCCTCTGAGCATTGGCCTCTCAGAGGAGCTGAAACACTGCATTCACACAAAACCTGAATTCATGTGGATGTTCATGGCTGCTTTATTCATGAGAGTCAACCTCATAAACAACCAGGGTTTGTGAGGTGAGTGTACACATGCCTGATCCCATTCTAGCAAAAAGTGTGGAGATTATAAAAGGACGTTTGGCCACAGGGGCCTGAGGTGAACAGTGTACAGAGGATCTTTAAGAGGATGCAACTACTTTGTGTGACTTTGTGATGGTGAATCCAGTCATCACACATTGGTCAAAGCCCCAAGAATGTCCAGCATCAAGAGTGAGCCCTGATGGCAACTGTGGACTTCAAGTAAGGCTATACTATATTGGTTCACTGGCTATACAGCAGTTGTCCCCCTGGTGGGGAATGCTGGCTGGTAGGGAAGGCCACGCCTCTGTGGAGAAAGGGGACCCAGAATTCTGCTGTGTATGACCAGTTTTTCTATGGATCTGACACTTATTTTAAAACAATTTTTTTATGATTTGCTTTTTTTTGTATGTGTTCGCCTGCACGTATTGTGCCTCACACCCACAGGGGCTAGAGGCAGGGGTGGGACCCCTTGGAACTGTGGCTGCAGATGTCTGTGAACCACCACACAGGAGTTAAAAAACAAACCCAGGCCTTCTGCAAGAGCACCAAATGCTTTTAACTACTGAGAAATCTCACCAGCCCATTACTTTTTAATAAAACAAAATCATATAGAATAAAGTGAATTGATACAAAGAAAATAATAAAAGTCTTATGTAATCTATATTTTTTAAGAAGGGAAAGAAGATCATACAGAATAAAGCAAATTGATACAAAGAAAATAATAAAAGTCTTATGTAATCTATATTTTTTTAAGAAGGGAAAGAAGATCATACAGAATAAAGTGAATTGATACCAAGAAAATAATAAAAGTCTTATGTAATCTATATTCTTTTAAGAAGGGAAAGAAGAAGAGTCATTGGGACAGCTCAGCAGGTGAGGAAATCTGCTGCCAAACCTGATGACCTAAGCTTGGTCCCTAAACCAACAGAGTGGAAGGAGAGAACTGACTCCTACAAGGCATCTCTGACCTCCACATGCAAGTTGTGACATGCAACTCACACATGTGTACATCCAGGCAGGCACACACACACACACACACACACACACACACACAACTAAATACATAATCATAATTTAATTAAGAAGCCCTTTTAGAGATAATACTAGTGAAGGAGACATAAAAATAACCCATCTGTCCACTGCCAAACTGCATACTAAACATGGCAGAGGACACTATGCAGCAAGAGCCACTCCAGGCTACACTGGTGTCACCACACAGCAACTAGCTGTACCTTTGCAAAAGCTGGAGGTCAACCTGGAAAGAGAACTAGAGAGCTCAGGCTGGTATTGGGGGCATGCCAAGGCTGGTCAGACACCATTCCAGTCTGTCTCATTCCTGCTATAGGAGAAGCAAGCCAGGGAATGCCAGAGTGTATACAAGATGCCATTTATTGCACAGGCTTTGTTCCCTACAAAGAGGCCAGGAATTTGCTAATGGCTGTCCTAGGCACTGGGTCCTAGAATCTGGGTGCTCCATACATACATACATACCCATGAGAACACAAGAGCCATGCTCCCTGGAAAATCATGCCATCCCTTTACTGCTTCACCCAGTTACAGACTGGTTCTCAGGTAAGCCTCTTAAAAACATACCAGGCACAAGGACCAAGACCAGGCTCATTTAGATTCTAAATTCCTCATCCCACTCATTCTGACCCTGGCTCACAAAAGTCCTACATCATCGCCCCTTCTCTTCCTTCTCTTTCCACTTTCCTTGACTGAGCTCTGCCCTGACCCAGGCCAAGCTGGTACCTAAGACTCCTCCTTTCTTTCTCCACAACCATCAGGACGCCTGCAGGATCAACACAAAGTAGGGCTTCCCCATCTACTAGACAGATGAGAGCCGACTTCTCAGAGTTACAGGGACTCTCAAACACTCCTGCCCAAGTCCCTCGCACCCAGAGTCCCCTCCCGCCACTGATGTATTGTCCTTGCTGCTAGAACAAGGGAGGGAAGCCCCTAGAATGGCAGGTACCATCTTGTGAGTGCTGGAGAGCTGGACTGGAGTGGAGGAGGGCAGCGGAGGGCAGCTGGGGATGAGTGTGCAGAGCCCATGTGGCCTGCAACCGTCACCTCATTTGGAGGTTTTGAGTACCTCGTGTCCCCAGGTTCCATGTAGGATTCTGCCAAGAAAGTGCTGCATTGTCTCAGCAGTACTCTGAGAGCTAAGGGGGAGCCTGAGGTGACAGCTGCAGCAGAATTGTCTGAATGGAGACAGCCCGAGAAGCCTCCAGAGGGCCACAGAGACCAGAACAGCTTCTAGGGGAGCAGCCCAGGAGGCTCCTGTGTCAGAGAGACAGAGACCAGCTCCCATACCCAGCGTCAGTCACGTCAGTCTGCACCCCCACACCCACGCCCACTAAGAAATGCCAGTCACACAACAGGCGCTCAACAAATCCTGACTTCCACCCCATCTCTTGAGGGGATAAAATGACAGAACAGAAAAACTATATAGATCACACAATTAATGAGGTCTGGAAAAACATGGCTGAGGGAATCCAGATGCAACTGAGGGCTGACAGGAGCTGTGAGCACCCATGTGCCCATCCCAACTCACAGTAAAGTGGCCACTGCAGAGCCGTCATGGGCTCTGCATACTCACCCTGCCCTCTGGCACCCTCCTCACTCCAGTACGTGAAGAGAGTGGCTACCATTCCAGAGGCATCCTCTGTTCTAGTAGCAAGGGTCATATCATCTCTGCAGAGTCTCAGACCTTCTGGAAAGGGTCCCAAATCCTCCTCTTGACCCTTGCACACGATCCTAACAGCTCAACAGGCAAAGCATTTGCCTCCAAACCTGGAGACCTGAGGTCCATCTCTGAAGCCCATGTGGCAGGACAGAAATAACTCCTACATTTTGCCCTGCACACTATAGTGCTCACACACACAAATAAATTAGCTTAAAATATATTTTTAAAATCAAGGGCAAAATCTACTTCAAAGTGGCGCCACACAGCAATGTGTGATGTCACATGCCTATACTCCTACCAACTGGGAACCCACAGCAGGAGGATTGAGAGTTCCAGGCCACCCTGGGATAGTAAGTTCAAGGCCAGCCTGAGTTACATAGACAAATGTCAAGGTCCATATTCAATTTTTTTTAAATAACCCCCAGCATGGGTGCAGGATGGAGGAGACCTGGCTAGCAAGGTCACAAGCTCTTCTTTGAATCTAACATAAAAGACAAAAAGAGCAGGTCACGTGAATGGAAAACTGCCCAGCAGACCCCTGCCAGCCCATCTCGCCCTTGTGGATCCAGGGAGGCAAGATATTGTCTGCTCTGAAGACAAAATTCCAGGGTTGCAGGGGCTGGGAGTTGGGGAACACCTCCCTCCATAAGCCTGTTGTATACCTGTGCACAGGTCCCATCCGATTACTAAGTGACCCCTCACCGGAATCAGTCTCTCCTCAGCAGCCATGGCCCCAACCTCCTTCCCTGTCTTCACCAATCTGAAGAGACCCCTAAACACTGGGCCCCAACCTCTGTCTTCATCCAATCCAGTAACTCTGTTTACCCCCTAGGTACCACCTTCTAGCCTCAGCAATGAAGACATCTTGACACCACCTTGAAGGACTCACTGGGACAATGATGGATGGGACCACATCAGAACCTGCACTGTGATGACGCAGCAGACCTCTTGTCCCAGTTCCTCTTCTATTTAGACCTAAAGATCATTGCAGATAACCAGAAAGCAGCCCCCAAGCTGCTACTTTCCCTAAGGTGGCCTCAACGAATAAAACTCTTATCTGTGCTCGCCTCAAAGACACGAGGGGCTGACCTTCTCAAAATGATTAGCTCTCGATGTGTCATCTGCCTGGGACTATGGACAAGTGCAGGAAGTGCCGAGTCTGGCCTGTCCACCATCGATCTACTCTTCTTGTGGGGAGAGGGAGGCTCAGACAGGGACTGTATGATTTGTGTTCCCATGAGACCTTACTCTGTAGAACAAAAAGGCCTCAAATTTATGCCCATCCTTCTGCCTTGGCCCCCCGAGTCCCAGGATTTCAAGGTTAGAACACTATACCTGCCCCTACCATCTACACTTGCCCATGAAGTCCTATTGATCTGCACATGACCTCTGCCACTTCAACACCACTCCAGACAACAGAGACCACAGCCCACAAGGCCTTGAAGACTTACCACCCTGCCCTTCACAGAACAGAGGGCCTTATCTCTAAGCCACTCCCTTCTAAAGACCCTGGCCTGCTGGGGAAGGGCTGGTACCAAAGAGTCTAGGGAGAGAGACATCTGAACACTTCATCTGTGGATGGAGAAGAGAATGATTAGGGAATGAGAGTGGGAGCACTGGGGATCTAACTGCACCCTAGCAGAAGGACAAGTCAGTTCTCTCCTACTGAGAGCTACACCGCCACTAGCTCTGGGTCTATAGTTATTACACTTATAGCTATGCTTTAGCATGTATTACTGTTACAGAATCAGAACCTACCACAAATGCATAGCTGTGTGTATACACAAACTTCCAAGTTTATTTACTCCAAAAAGGTACACTGACTTTTGCTAACCTAACAAAATTTCATAAGGTAAGTAAGAACATTAGGACTTAAAGCTTTGTGTTGGTGACAGACCATGATGGTGGCCTCTAGGGCAATTTCTGACCTCCACTAACCAAGATCCAAAAACAAGGCCACAAGGTAGGCTCCAGGACTTCCTGTCATGGCACCACTGTTATGAGTGGCTGTACCGGGAAGGGTTTGGTCACCACAGGTGCCCACTACAGTAAATAACACTCAGCAGATGCCCAAATGCACAAGGTGAATGAAAATAAAGCCATTTCCACCCCAGGCCCAGGTCATCGGTACCTTTGTTGAAGTCCTTGGGGTCTAGCGACAGACTGTAACCGGGCAATGTCTCCAGAAGGAGCTTGTAACAGGCTCTCCAGCCAGGTTCTGAGATGCTGGGGGCAACGCATTGCATGGCAGCCACGCGCTTGAAGAATGCTGACTTGCGGTGGAAGCCGATCAATTCGTAGAGCTCAGAGAGGATGCTGTAGCGCTGTATTTTCTCTTCTTCAGAAAGCTGAAGCATAGAGAGAAAGTGAGACACATGATGCAACTGTAACCTCTTTCCATAAAGGAACAGAGCCTGGCCACTGTGAATAGCCTGAGGCTCTGAAGGACGCTATGAACACCCAAGACCTTTCATGAGCCATGGCTCCCAGCACACCCAGCCTTTTGCTAAGAAGGCCCAGATTCTCCGGCATAAGGGGGTTGTCACACAACGCATGAGACACCCTTCATAAAAAGGAACAAGAGTCCATCATGACAAGACAAATGGGGAAGAGACTTTGCTCAGATTCTCAGAATATCATGAGGAACCACGTGACCGGAAGACAGTAATAACACCATCTAACCCAGACTTGAGGCTACTGGCCAAGGGACAAAATAAGTACTGAGTGTGTGGTGAATACTTCAGACAAGGGTCCACAATTGCTGGGTGATGCAGAGGCTCTGAGACACAGGGCTCTCCAGCTACACACACACACACACACACACACACACACACACACACACCTATGCGCATGTGTCCTAAGTCCCTCTCACCATCTCCTTGATGCTATCCTGACATGTTCTCATGCATAGCCCCTAGCCCCTCAGGGGCTTCAATCCTCTCTCCTGCACCATTCACACTGGGCCCCTCCCCCTGACTGGGGGCAGACAGACTCTTGCAGAGCGGCAGCATCAGCTTGCGCTCACAGGAATGACACAAGGACCACACTGTGTCATGTGTGATCACAGATGCTTGATGTCATGGATGCTTGTGGGTTTTGCCATTCTGCTGGTGTTGCTTTGCATTCCCAGATAAGCAGGCCTTTAAATTAGATCATTCATCTTACTATGGAGCTGGGCTCGCTCTTCATAGTTTCCACACCTAAGTCTTTGGTCATACATGCTTGCTGAATATTTTCTCCCAGTCTGCCACCAATTTTCTTTCCTAAGAGGATCTTCTGATAAGCAGAGAGAGGCATGTCATATGGCAAAGCTCACACTATCAATTCCTCCTCTCTTGGTTAGCAATCCCTGTGTCCTCTGTCTAAGAAACCCCTGACTCTTCTAGAAGTGTTTTGATCAGGTCTATAATACATGAACTCTAAACCTGCAGGGGACACAGCCTTGCTTCAGGACTCTAATGTGCCCCTATCAGCCATGGCAGGGGACAAGGAGAGAGGCAAACGTGTTGACTGCCTCTGTCATATACTGATGGACCCTTAGACTTTCACCTGGACATCCTGCATGCTAAACATGACAACAGATGCTGATGATGGCGGCCTAATCTAGGACCCTCTCCGCAGGTAACAGCAGAGGATCAAACCCTTGACCCCTGCCCTCCATGATTCCCATGGTGGGAATCCCACTTCTATTGCAGACAGAAGGATGTAAAAGTCCAGTAGTCTGGCCTCTCACTCTTCATACCATATGAATGTAACATGACAGCAAATGATAAGCACTCCCCATAGATGAGACTGAAATTACTTCAGACCCTAGGAAAACTCCCCTGTGGAGAAAGCCAGGACACAACCGTTTTCCAGTGCTATGTTGACAATGACTGGGATGCTTCGGTTAATGCCAGCCCTAGAAGCCTGGGGACAAAGCCATGTTAAGCTAATGTGGGCAGCCCAAGGGTCTGGGGGAGTGCAAATGGTCCCAGGCAAAATCTTGAGATGCAATCAAGTCCCCACCCATTTCTGACCCCTGGCTCTTGTAGGGGATATTAATCAGCAGATATTTGTTCTAATTTTTCAGCAGGCTGCATAGTCATGACCTCTTGAGTCCAGGGCCTAGATGTTTATGCAAATTTCCAGCAGAAGCATCTCAAAGACACTCAAGATAAAGAAGCCTTAGTCATAAGATGGGTCATTTTGGTATCAACTCACCACTCCACTTCCAACCAGAAAACAGGCTGAGTCCACTTTGTTCTAACAGTAAAAGGAGCAGAATTCTACCATTAGAACATTGTGGCAGGGCAGGGCAGAGAGCAGCTCAGTGAGCTTAGCAGGGCTGAGCCATATCCATTGAGTCACCAGCTCTGCCACTTTGCCTTGTCCTCTGAAAAAGGGAAGACAGTCTAATGTTTTAGTGGCCAGAAAAACTAAATGAAATTATGTGGACATTTAGGACAATGGGGAACATAACCGTCAACAGAGACATCTACAGGATCTCTAAAAGGGTTAGCTTAGAAAATAAAAGTTTACATTTTTATACTTCAAAAAAAAAAAGCTAAGACCAATCACTCTTCAAATACTGCCTGTTTTACAAAAAATTCCTTACTAACCTTTATGAACTTTGTGTTTTAAGTTATAGCTCCAAATAGAACAGACCCCTGAAGGGACACAGAAACTTAAGAAAGTGGTTAATTCAGAAAATGGAAAGGCAATCTATTGTCTACCATAATGACACTGGAAATTCCTAGAACACCTCATCTAATTAAGAAAATGAAATAAAACAGGAAGTGACCAAAGCAAAATACAAATGAGTTAAACAAAACCAACAAATAAAAATAAAAACCGAAATTTCAGTGCTAAGTCATGGAGGCGGAGGGGGGGTTTACAAATACCAAATGTTTCTGTAGTCTGGGAAGACAGCTCAGCAGCTCATGGGTGATGATGCTCTTGCCACAGTGCTGGGAGGGGAGAGGGGAGGGAAGAGGGGAGGGAAAGGTGGAGATGGAAGGGAGAGGCAGGAAATCAAGAAGGATGGAAAGGAGAAGAAAAAGAACAGGGAGGATTTACTGGCTCTTTATTACAGACACTCTGTGTTCACGGAGTGAAAGGCAATATTGTTTGATTGATTTTTGGTGGGGAGGCTGGGCAGGTTAAGACAAGGTCTTCCTACATAGCCTAGGCTAGTCTGGAACTCACTATGTAGCTAGATTGGTCCTGAACTCTGCCCTCCTCCCCACAGCCTGCAGAGTGTTGTGGTAACAGGCACATACTTCTATGATGGTTAAGATGGCTAAACTCCCCCAAACTTATCTACAGAGTCAATGAAATCTACATGCAAATCCCTCTGGCTTCTTTGGAAAAAAAAAAAAAACAGGCTGATCCTAAATTTCATATGGAAATTCAGGAGACCCAGAATAGCAAGAAAAATCTTGAAAAAGAACAAGGTTAAAAAAGATATACTTCTGCCAGGTGTTGGTGGCACATGCCTTTAATCCCAGCACTTGGGAGGCAGAGGCAGGTGGATCTCTGTGAGTTGGAGGCCAGCCTGGTCTACAGAGCGAGTTCCAGGACAGCCTCCAAAGCTACAGAGAAATCCTGTCTCAGAAAAAAAAAAAAAAAAAAAGATATACTTCCAACATTAAAGTTTACCATAAAAAGTCAAGCATGTAAAAGTGGCAAAGGATTTTGCAGTCTGGGTGGTATGGCCTGTGCCTGTGTGCATGAGACTCTGAGTTCAAGTGCTGACTCCAAAGATTGATAAAAACTGGAAAGCACTGTAACAGCCATGTGTGAATGACCAGTAAGCACAGGAAAAAATGCTCAACAACACGGGGCATGAAGGAAATGCAGATCCAAACCAGAGCAACATCACTTGCCTCCCACTTCAGGAGCTGCACCCGGAAGATGCTCTGGATGGGAGGACACAGAGCAGGTGGGAAGAAGGGAGTCTTCGGACCCTGCTGACAGCAACTATGTCAGTCTACTGGTCCCTCGGAAGGCTACAGAATGTATGTCCAAGAGGAGTGAAAACATTTCACAAAACCCATATATGAGTGTTCACAACAGCCAGCAGACTGTTGGGAAGTCCCTGCTGTTTACCAGGGCATGGGAGCTGGACCTGCAGACAGAGTGGCCAGTACCTGGCCACAGAAAGGAACCAAGTTCTGACTTCCGCTATGATGGGGACAAGCTTACAAACGTGTCAGGCAAGCATGTTGGACAGAGGAAGATAGGCTCCATGCTCTGGGTGGTGGGCAGCCAAGCATTGGCTGTACTTCTCTAGAAATCTTCCAGGGGCCTTGAAGCACTCCCAAATAAAAACCAGGTCTGCTGCACATAACAAATAGGAAATAATAAAACAATCCCTAATAGGAGGGGTTTGAAGTGTTAAATGCAGAAAGGACACCAATGGTCTCCACTGTCATTGCTCAGAGTGATGCCAATGCCCCCAGAGAGCAGCAGGACGAAGCATGTGTCAGAGATTAGTGGATGTCTGGTCTGACAAGCACTGTGCCTGCACAGTGATGAGAGAGATAAATAAGGCCCAGCCTTCTCCAGAGTCTGTGTGTTACCAACTGTGTCCTGAGAACACAGCTCTAACACTCAGCTTTAACCTCCTCAGGTAAGGACCCTGGACCTCTGCAGAGCCGTGTGTGTCTGCCTGCGGCACCCCCGCTTAGCCATTTCTTTACATTCTGCCTTGTGCTGAAGAAGAATCTAAAATCAATTTTTAAAACACATACATAATTTATTAAGCGCAGTAACAACAAAAAGATAAAAACCAAGGTGAAGAGAAAAATGAGATTTAGGTAAAATGCAACGAGGGAAAGGTTGACCAGAAACGAGGCCACACACTATACCATGGGTCTAACCATTGAAGGTATCTGTGCGCTCAGCACGAAGGTTCCTAACTACTAAAACAGAGGGGGAAATCAAGGTTCCTCAAACCTGTGAAAACACACTGGCTTGCACGTCCCCTCTCATCCCTGTGTTAAAAACCACAGCCCCCATGGGGCACAGAGGTCTCTGGCTTTCCTCTGACACTGGTCAGTTCCTTCCTATTCTGCTCATAGTGGGGATCTGAAACTGAACCTGTCTGAGGGTCGAGCAGGCCTTGCCACCAAGGCTTCCTGGCCTCTCACTCTGGAGAGACTGACTGCTCTGACTGTCCCCACAGACAGCCACTCTCCTGCCAGAGTCTCGTTAAAGCAGAAACTTCTCGGTTCTCACTCTCCCTTTCCTTCTCCAATAAGGAATCTAAAGGCTTTGCTCCCCATTCAACAGTTTCCTTGTAAGAGCCACGAGTACCCCGCAGGATGCCACTGGACTACCGGCTGACTCGGCTGGCCAGTGCTGACCTGTCTCAGCATTACCGCAGTCCCAATCTTACACTTCCCACTTCCGCATTCAACAGCCTGCCCCACTCTCCTGCCCATCCGACTGAGCTCAGACAGACAGAAGTACCAGGGTTGCAGTCACTCCTGGACCTACCAGGCTCTTGCAGGGTTTCCTTAGCAACAGCTTCATTAAGGAAACCCATCAAAAAAGAAATGCAAAGAGGCTGTTCTTACATCCGAACAGAGGCCCCTGCATAAAATCAGAATGGCTTTGAAAAGAAAATTAACCGGTTGCAAGTCTCCTCAAAAAGTCTCACAAACCAAACTGTTCCTAAAGGGAACACAATCTTTCCAGACCTTTACGATGTAAAGAGGTTAAGGACCTGTGCCTCTGTGTGGCCTGCCAGGGAAGAGTCCAGTTTTCCAAACACTTCTTTACTAGAACTTTCTCTTCTAGCCACCTACTGGTTGAAAACAAAATGTAGTCATTTCCTTGTGTTGTTGGGGGAGAGGGGGAGCCACAGGGTTGCCTTAAAGAATCACAGAGAGGGGAATTTAAATAACAATGGGAGACTTTGTGAGAAGAGACTGGGTCCCACCTTCAGATTCCCCATCTTTAAAACTGGCTGCCAGTGAGCAGCCAGGCAGCTGTCCAGACACTGCGGGTGCCCGCACAAGCCCTGCAAGCCAGCTGCCCCTAGGAACAGACAGCGCCTCCCTTGAGTCTCCCTTCTGTCATCTTTTTCTACAGTGCTTATGTCCCTGGGATGAACGCATCTGGTGCAGCCCCCTAGAAGGCATCAGTGGGAGCGTGTTCTTTTTTCTATAGAGCTGACTCAATTGGGAATTATTTGCTCCGGGTTTACTGTTTAGTAGCCGGTTCCCCTTCCACTCAGCTCAGCCATGGTGGAGCTGTTTGCTGCTCACTGAAGTGCTCGCGCGCGCGCATGCTGCGCAGCGCACACACACACACACACACAGCCTAGCCGGGCTCCTGCCCATCCCAGTGGGAAGCAGGGGAGGGGAGGGGAGGGGAAGAAAGGGACGGGGAAGGAGGCTTGAACACATCTCTGCCAAAGACCCCTCACCTCTAAGCCACTGTCTTACTGGGTGCCTGTGACACTGTCCCTTTTTCCTAAGTGCCCCTCTGAGGATATGGATGGCTACATTTAGATCATAGAATCTTAAAAGGAGTCTGAGAATGGCTGCCAGTGAGGAGCAGACTCCTAGCCATTCGGGTGTGCCCAGTATGTGGTCCTGTAGCATCTGCAACTTACAAGGAGTGGGGGCCACAGGAAACACACTGACAGGGCTCAGGACTCCTCTAGTCACACAGGGAGGAAACTGACTGAAGTCCCATCTGTTCTCATCTGAGCCTTGTCATTTGCCTGTAAAGCCTTCATGGCCAGTACACAGATTTTTGCTATTTGCTGTCATCTGGGAGTGCCAGATAATTACCACAAGCCAACACAGGCAGGTCACCCTGTGCTTGCACACGGAGGAGGGTCTGTTCTGTAGAGACCCTTCCCAGCACAGCTGAAGCCCCATGTACTATTCACCCGTTCTGATGTCCGTGCGGGAATTTTTAAAGACAGAAGGAACTTGTGCTAATCACATCTCCATTCTTTCCAAAATGTCCACATTTGACCAAGCCATTCATTCCTGTTGGTTCCACAATGGAGCCCACTTAACCAAGAACCAAAAGCCTGTTCTACTTCAGAAGACCTACCAGCCCTCTTTTTACTGTGATTATAAACCCCACCAGAACTCATTATTTTGCTGCTCTACTGGCAGACAAACATCAGGATGAGTCAATGACAGCCTTCCTCTCAAGGCAGACTAAGAAAGGCCAGCAACTGCTCTGTGCTGCAGGGCCACATTTGCCACGGAGCACTGCTGCCCTCTGGTGTTTGCCTGAGGCCATGCACTACAACAGCAGAGCTAGTCCAAATTAACGCCCACACAAAACCAGTAAAATATTTTATTTTGTAAAATATGTGTCTGCATGCCCAACCGTGAAAACAGTTTTGCAGTATGCCCAAGCCCTCTGCCTTTAATGTATAAAGGTGCCTTCAGTAACAGCAGAGGCAAAGCTGAGCTGAGCTGAACTGATTGGAAGCCACCCAATCCTCCAGAACCAGCTGAGCCTAACAAGCTCCATACCCAGGCCTTCCAGGACTGCTTGGAGCCTCTACTGTGTCTGAAAGCTGTCTCCTGAGGCCCCTAAGCATGGTGACAGCAGAAGTAGCCTGCTGCAAGCCTGTGGAGGGACACAGGGCCATCCACAAGGCTCCTTCCTCACACACCTGATGAGACCCAGCACTCTTTGAAGCACGGTTTACATCAGTGCCCCGCCCTCTTTCCCTTGAAGCACCCGTGCCCTGTGTCTTACCCTCGTGTCCTTTGGCAAACTTCCACCAGCCTGACCCCTGCGGACCCTCTGCGCTCCAGGCCAGCATGGCTCTTGCATCCCACCTGCTCTTTGGCCACCCGGGGGTCTCTTTCCCTCAGCTCAGGTATTGGTGGGACTTAACTGTCCTTTTTCTCAGTCAATGTACATTCACTAAGCTTGTGTTTGCCTAGCCTAGGTCATTCTGCCCTCCAGTCCTCTACAAGAACTGTAGCCTCGGCACCCCTGAAAAACACAGCCTAGAAGGCAAGTGACATGGTTCAGCAGGTGAAGGTGATGTCACTAAGCCTGACAACTGAAGTCAGGGGCCCATGTGGGGGAAGGAGAGAACAGACTCTCCAAGTTGTGCTCTGATCACACCCATGCTATGGTATGGTGCCCACATGCATGCACAGACACATACAAGTAAAATCAATATAATTACAACACACACACACACACACATTCACAGGGCTTGACCCAGTGTTGAACTCTGAGTAGAACCAAGTCAAATGGTAAATGTCAGCTGACTGGAGACTGACATATTGTCTTGGGCCATTTCCCAGGTAACTGAAGTTTCTACATCAAAGTACCAAATTTTTGCCTCTCCTGTCTCCTGATTGCTAGCAACCAATAAGGAACTGAAGCCGGGGCCTCTTCTAGCCTTCCTTGAGGACACTGGGTGCAGAGCTGGCTCTGGGGCTCCCTCACTGGGAGGCCATGGGTACTCCTCCTCCTACATGAAATGGCATGAAATGCTGGAGCAATTCGTCTTACCCAGTGTTTCTCTCTCCCTCTGTGGCTGAGCTGACTACTGGCACTTCACATACAACTGAGGCAGCCCCATAGACCAGCCTAAGGGGCAGCACAGGGCTCTGCAGCAAGTAAGACTCAGGGAGGTCAAGAGTCCCAGGCAGCTGTCAGCCGTCTGATGTGGGTGCTGGGGACAGAACTCAGGTCTCCACAAGAGCAGTGTGTGCTCTTAGCCAAGCCATAACTACAGTCTCGGGTTAATCTATTCAGTTATTGTTCCTTAAAAAAAAAAAAAAAAAGAATCCCTGGGCTCAGTGGTTAAGAGCACAGACTACTCTTCCACACGGACCCAGGTTCAATTCCCAGCACCCGCAGGGCAGCTCCCAACTGTAACTCTAGTTACAGGGGATCCAACAACCTCAGACAGACAGACATGTAAACAAAACACCGGTGTCTTACCCTTATTTATTAAAAATAAATAAATCATTTTTTTAAAAAAGAATACCTGTTGTGAAGATGACAGCCATCAGCGTATTAAACACAAGTGATGGGACAGACTCTGGTTGTCTCCATGCTCTCTGCACGTTTGGGTGGGGTTATTCTGAAGTTCCTCCTGCCCTCAGCCTTGCCCACCCACAGGCCCACACCGCCCTCGCTCTTATCAAGGCCAACAGTGTGGCTCTCATCTGCCCACCAGATAGGTGCAGTCTGCCTTTCGCTTCTCAGAGCCCAGCTGGCTGGGGCTCAGTGGCCAGCACTCTCCCTGGTCTCATCCTCCTCAGACACCAGGCTTCTCTGTTTCAGCCTTTCTGTCTCCCCAAAACAGCCCAGACTCACAGACACCTCACCCTGCACCCTCCACCACCTAGATCTTGCCCTATTGTGCTCCTAAAGCAGACCCCAAAGTCTGTACCCCCCTGTTGAGACTTGGCCTCGCTTGCCACTCCCCCACCCCCACCCCATCCTAGCAGCTGCTCCCTCTGCTCCCTCATGGCTTCTGTGAAAGTCAGACTCCTGGCAATCTCCTATTCTGCCACCTTCAGGGGTCACCTCCAATGTCCCAATTCCCACTACATTAAGCCAGGTCCTTTGGTCACCTGCTCCCCTTATGAATGTGTGTCACTACCTGCCTTCCTTATGAGTCTGCCTCTCGGTGAGGTGGGGTGGCTGCGTCTCTCTAGGTCTACTTTAACAGGGTGCCTACTCAGCCAGGGTTCTTGGCCCACTGCTGCCTGCTGGAGCCCTGGCTCCCTAGGCTTTCCTACAGATCAGCTCCACCTGGCTACACACAGCTAAAGCCTCCCAGCCTCTAGGCTGGGGAGCAGTGTTGTCAATCCACCACTAAATGTTTTCATGACTATCTTATTAAATACCTTTCCAAGGGCTGTGGCTGCAGCTCCATGGAAGAGGGGGAGCCTGGCACACAGGAGACACTGGGTTCAATCCTCAGTGCTCTTCAGGCTCAGATTTAACCAACACTTGTGAGGTACCTGGGGGGCAGGGGGGGGACAGGAGCTGAACAGGCCTCACGTTTTATAAACCAAACAGCCCAGCATTACCAATGGCAAGCATTTTAAAAATGACAAAGGCAAAAGTCGAGAAGCATGTTGAGGTTGCAAAGATGGCAGGAGCCAACACCATTATTACAAGTAAAAATTGGGAGAAGGTGGTGAATTCTGAATTTTGAAAATATAATATCCAAAAACAAAGATGATGGGCACACAAATGAGCACATACTTTGGCTGGATCGTGAGTGGCGCATTTCAGGAGCCCTGAATCGCTGGCCCCGGGATCACTGGCCAGGGATGAACAGGCACAGGCTCACCTGCCGGAGATTGATGTACACAGCATTCTGCAGAAACTCCGAAGCTTCCATGCCACGCTTCTGAATAGCCAGGACACGCACGGCCTTGACACACGCTTCCAGCTCAATCACCCCGGCATTCTTATACTGGGGGTATAAAGTAAACACGTCAATCAGCAAAAAGCAAGGATGTTCCCAGCACTAGGAAGCTGCCACTGAGACTCCAGGTGCCCCCAGCAGCACTCCCCATGCGCAAAGACCCAGTAGCCTCTGGGAAAAGCGATTTCTGAGTCTGTCTTAATGCATACAAGTTAGAATAAACCTATGACCATCCAAGTGTGTTGCACTGATTAAAATCATACAACCACAATGCTCGCTATGTTAAAGGCTTCCATTTGGGAGCAGAGGGGCGGGCAGGCTGAGGTCCCCTCAACACCAGAAGTGATTAGCATTTAGAGGAGTTTGGGTTTGGGGATTTGGATTTTGGGTTAGGGATGCTCAGCCCATATAATGGATGGATGCTTTGCCATTTTTATTAAATGTTCTCACACCTGCAGCTTCAATGCAGCTATTGGGAATGTGTTGCCTTTTGCAGGAGACATCTGGGCTATGTTCAGTGCTGCTATCTTGTCTCAAAGCCACCTGACCCACACCTCAGACAATGGAACAGAACGGGTTCTGTGGGGCTCATCTGAACCACTGCTACTTGTAGAAATGGTTTTCAATCTGTGGGTCACAACGCCTCCAAGAATCACATATCAGACATCCTGCGTATCAGGTATTTTTACATTATGATTTATAACAGTAGCAGAATGGCAGTCATGAAGTAGCAATGAAAATAATTTTATGGTTGGTGGGGTCACCAAAAGATGAGGAACTGTATTAAAGGGTCACAGCATTAGGAAGGTTGAGAACCACTGACCTAAAGTGGCATGTTGCTCCCTCAGGACAGAGAAAGGATTCAGAACCATGGACAGGTCCCAAGCACCTTCCCACTCCATGTACAGTGGACTTGGCAGCAAACCATACAGTGTTCATGTCCAGGAGCATCTTAGAACTTATTCTCAAGCTACAGGCATAAGCAAAACAGATCTGGGATGCATGCGTGTGCACAGAGGACATGAGTGATGACAGACACGCACCAGTGGCTGCCTGAACACAAGGAGCACAGCTCTCTGCTCTACCAGACCACTGTCCTACTGTCTGTGCACACTGGCGATGGCCAAGTCACATGCATGTGACACTGACAAGGACAGGTGATGTGAGCCTATTTTCTTGTGCCTAAAGAAAGATGTAAGGGAAGGCTGGAGAGATGACTCAGAGGTTAAGAGCTCTGGCTGCTCTTCCAGAGGTCCTGAGTTCAATTCCCAACAACCACATGGTGACTCACAACCATCTGTAATGAGATCTGGTGCCCTCTTCTGACCTGCAGGCCAAACACTGTATACATAAAAAAATAAATCTTTAAAAAAGAGAAGACACCAAAAATTAGTAAGAAAAACAAAAGAAAAAGACAAAGAAAGAGAGGGGGAGGAAGGAAGGAAGGAAGGAAGGAAGGAAGGAAGGAAGGAAGGAAGGAAGGAAGGAAAGAAGGAAGGAAGGAAGGAAGGAAGGAAGGAAGGAAGGAGGGAAGGAAGGAAGGAGGGAAGGAAGGAAGGAAGGAAGGAAGGAAGGAAGGAGGGAAGGAAGGAAGGAAGGAAGGAGGGAGGGAAGGAAGGAAGGAGGAAAGGAAGGAAGGAGGGAAGGAAGGAAGGAAGGAAGGAGGGAGGGAAGGAAGGAAGGAGGAAAGGAAGGAAGGAAGGAGGGAAGGAAGGAAGGAAGGAGGAAAGGAAGGAAGGAAGGAGGGAAGGAAGGAAGGAAGGAGGGAGGGAAGGAAGGAGGAAAGGAAGGAAGGAAGGAGGGAAGGAAGGAAGGAAGGAGGAAAGGAAGGAAGGAAGGAGGGAAGGAGGGAGGAAAGGAAGGAGGGAGGGAAGGAAGGAAGGAGGGAGGGAAGGAAGGGAGGAAGGAAGGAAGGAGGGAGGGAAAGAAGGAAGGAGGGAAGGAAGGAAGGGAGGAAGGAGGAAAGGAAGGAAGGAAGGAGGGAAGGAAGGAAGGAGGGAGGGAAGGAAGGAAGGAAGGAAGGAAGGAAGGAAAGAAGGAAGGAAGGAAGGAAAAGGAGAGATGTAAGGCTGCAGACTGCCTGAGGTTCCCACCAAGTCTCAGTAGCGAGTCTGCGTCTCCAGCGCACCTCTCCTAATGCAACAGACACCCTAAGGCACTGCTCAGGACTCGAGGGAAAGGCGCCAGTTACAGAGCAGACCAGCCCTGGGTGAGGCCTCTTGATGAGTACTGAATGAAACCCAAGCACTGGACCAACCCTAATTAATCGAGGGTCTGGGTAGCATGGGAAAGGCGCAGGTGAGAGATGAAAAGAAACCGGGCTCAGGGAAACACAGAAATGAAAACGTGACTCAAGAAAAGCAAGACATGAACTTCCCTTCTGTCTGCATTACATACATATGAGGAGCAGGCTTGCCCAGATGCCATGTAGAATACTGAACCTAGGAAGAGGAGGCAATAACCAATGTTCATTGAGCAGTACTAATGAGCCTGCCACTATGCTGGCCATTTCTATATGTAAAAATCATTGACCCTGATTAAGCATTCTATGCATCTGAGGCTGTAGACCTGCACAGTCTCTTCTGTTAGAGACAGCAGAGGGGAGCTCTGTCTGCATCCTATTGTCTGGCTGCTGTCTACTCTGCACAGTGGGGACAGGGCCATTCTGGGAACAGAAACACCTGATCCCTCTGCTGGGCCAGGCAGATCAGTCTTCCCCAGAGGTGAAATTCTAATGTTCACTAATACGGTACACTAGGTGGCCACTGAGGCTCCGGCCTGGCTGGTGAGGTACCATCCACCTGAAGCCACAAGTTTGGCCCACAATGGCAAGAGGATAGGTCTCAAGTGTGTACAGTTGGAAGCCTATATCTCCAGGCCTACTCCCCTTCCTATAGCTACATAACAATTCATTCTGGTGTTCTTCTTGAAGGCTATTTTTCTAAACTAGACACGAAAGGGCTCTGAAAAGGGGGCTTAATTTGATTATTTTAAATGGCCAGCTTGAAAATGAACATTAAAAAGTCAATCTGGGGCCAGCAAAATGGCTCCACAAGTGAAAACCCTTGTCACAAAGACTGACAACCTGAGCTCCTGAGTTCAGTTCCTGGGACTGGCAGTACGGAAGGGGAAAATCAGCACCACAAGTGTACTCCAGCCTCTAGATATGTGCACACACAAGCACTAAATAAACAAGTGTAATTTTTTAAAAGAGAAAACTATGTTTCTTTTGCTTGCTTTGTTGAGACAGGGTTTCTCTGTATAGCCTTGGCTGTCCTGGAACTCCCTCTGTAGACCCAGGCTGGCCTCAAACTCACGAAGATCTGACTGCCTTTGCCTCCAGACATGTGCCAGCGATGCCTGGTTTAGCAAACTACATGTCTATCTAACACCTTAAACAGATGGAATGGCAAGAGATTCCAATTGTAAAATAAGCAAAGAGACACACAATAGTTCAGAACACAAAGAAACATCCAAACTTGTATTCTATACAGAAAAAACTCAAACACTATACAGAGGGGCCAGAGGCATTCTGGCCCCTCCTGCAGAGGCTACAGCACCATGAGGAGGAGGAAGTTCTTCCCAGAATAAGCAGCTGACTATATACCCCGCCAAACACCAACTTGATGTCACATCAGATAATGTATTTTAGAGTTGCTTGAGAATAATAACCCCAGCATCCCAACCAGAAAGAAAATTTCACAAGGCAGGCTGGGGAGGGCTCAGTGCAGGCTGGAGGCGAATCACAGTGATACCAAGACAGTGGGTGTCAACTAGCAGCCACCATGACCAGTTCTCTCAGAACAACTGTCTATGACAATTCCATCACATCTCACAAGGCCTCACCTTGGGATTCCCTGGTCCAAGGTGAGAGGGCATCTGCCATCCACAAGTCACTGCCAGTTGAATATGGCAGGTATGGCTTGAAACATACCAAACAAATGCATCTCCCATAGGCAAAAAAGTCAAGAGAGACGGATGGCAGTCAGCAGCCTTGAGAGGAGGGTGGGAAAGGACTGTTGTCTGTTCTCTTCTGTACAGCTTCAGCTTTCTTTTTCAAGTTTTGCTAACAATATGAGCATTTTCAAAAAATGACAGGATTGGAGCCGGACAGGGTGGCACAGAGTAGGGGCAGGAGGAGCTCTGTGAGTTCAAGGCCAGTATGTTCTATACAGTGAGTCCCAGGACAGCCAGAGCTACACAGAGAAACACTGTCTCAAAAAAAATGAATAATAATAATAGGGTTGGACTAGAGCTCAGTGTTAGGTGAAGGGTCTGGGATCAATCCCTAGCACCTCAAAATAAGTAAATAAATAAGCCAAAAAGCAGGCTGCAGGTATTCAAAGTCTTGGCATGGGAGGGGTCAGAGCACAGAGAGCAGGCACCGCGGCGGAGGAGCAGGAAGCTCACCTCAACGGCAAGTCTGCGTGCCGCTTTATGAAATGATCACGTACACTGTGTGCTGCCGACTTTTATGTCAGCTTGACACAAGACAGAGTCATCTGAGAAAACTCCTCCATCAGATTGGGCTGCAAGGGGCTGGGGACTTAGCTCAATGGCAGAAGGCTTGCCTAGCAAGCACAAGGCCCTCGGCTCCAGAGGAGAAAAGATCGGGCTGCAGCGAGCACATAGCATGTTGTCTTAATTTGTGATTGATGGGGAAGGCCCCGCCCACCGTGGGTGGTGTCATCTCTGGGCTGGAAGCCCTGGGTTCTATAAGAAAACAGACCACACAAGCCATGTGGAGCAAGTCAGTTAGCAGCTCCCTCCATGGCCTCTGCATCAGCTCCTGCCTCCAGGTTCCTGCCCTGCCTGAGTTCCTTTCCTGACTTCCTTCAGAGATATGGACATGTAGACAAAATAAACGCTTTTCTCCTCAAGTTGTTTTTAGTCTTGGTGGGTCATCACAACAGTAACCCTAACTAGGACACATTGATTTTCAGAAGTCGAGAGAGCTGATGTAGTATTATCAGTAATGATTATCCCTGAATGGGCTATGGCAACCTCTTTCCAAACTTATATTAACTATATACTGCTTATAATCAGAAAAAAATAAACATTTCAGGCATATAGCAGAATGCACTAGAGAATAACACAGTATTTACAAAAGCAAGTAAGAGAAACAGGTTGGTGAGACAGCTCAGAGGATAAGGCACTTGTGTGACGCCTGATAATCTGAGTTTCATCACCAAGACCCAGAGGGTGGAGGGAAAGAACCATCCCTCTGTGCCATTCTCTGACATCCTCATGTGCGTCATGGCACACACACATGAATAACACCAACAAAACTGACGCATAATCTACATTGGATGTTTTTTTAAAGATACTGCAACATGACCTGATGTCAACAGGGAACATTCTGGCTGGAAAGACACAATGATACAAACACTATACAAAGCCATCAAGTCACCTTGCTGTAATAGGAAATGGCCTCTTTGTATTTGTCGATTATGTCCTCAGGGCTGAGGCAGTTCTTGGCACGTCCAATCTCAGCACTGGTGTCTGGATTTATGCCATTGGTGGTGAGAGCGCCTGCAGACGGAGAAAGAGAAAACAGTCTTTGCATCTTTCTTCTTATTCCCTCATTTCTTTAAGGAGGTGTGTGTGGGAGGTTAGCCCTAAGTGAGTGCCACTGAAGTCTGAACCGCGTTCCGTCTTCACATTATCCTCGGGCTGTAGCAGTCTCAACTCAACAGCATTGTATGCATGTTAGCTAACTCCGATGAGCTATCCTCTCTGTGAAGATTCTCCATTAAAGAACATGAAATGCTTCACATAAAAGTAGCATATGGACAATGGCCCAGGGACCGCACTGAGGCCTCAAAGGAGAGAAAATGTAGGAACCACTTCCTGAGCTGTACAGCAGCCAAGAAAATTACTTAAAAGTGCTAGTCACCTCCCACGGCAGCCGCTTTCTATTTCTGACCAACCCTTGCCACCAAACTCACACAGGGAAAGCTCTGTGGAGAACTTCCATCTTCAGAACAGAAGAAACTACAGAGATAACTCCAACTGGGAGAAAAGATGTAACTCTCTTTGATGTCAGAGAACACTCAAAAACTACCTGATTTAAACCTTGGTGACTGAGCCTCTCCTAAGTCACATGTTTATCTTATAGACAAGGGCATCTCCCAAAATCCCACTGCCCCTACTTTCAGCTCAGGGCCCAGTGTTTCTAAATGCAGAGGGCTAGGATGCACTTTGCATACAGCCACAGGCACCACAAAAGTGGATGCAGTACTCAGGTTCTCTCACCCAGGGCCAGTGTTCTCAATGGCTTGCTATCACTCTCTAATTCTGTAAAGAGCCTCGAGTATTTTTTTTGGAACAAGACAGAAGAATAAGAAGGAGCATCTTGAGTAAAACAGGGAGAAGAAGGAGCATCTTGAGTAAAACAGGGAGAAGAAGGAGCATCTTGAGTAAAACAGGGAGAAGAAGGAGCATCTTGAGTAAAACAGGGAGAAGAAGGAGCATCTTGAGTAAAACAGGGAGAAGGAGCATCTGGAGTAAAACAGGGAGAAGGAGCGTCTGGAGTAAAACGAGGAGAAGGAGCGTCTTGAGTAAAGTCCTCTTGTAATAAATAAAGAGAGAGGGTGCTTTAGGAGAACCATGAGGAGGTGGGGGGAAGAAAGGACCTCAAATCTGTCCTCTGAAAGAGCTCCATTCAAATCCATAAGGCCAGAGTCACAAGACTTGGGCACTCACAGGCCAGGCGTCCCTTAGAGCAGAGTTCAAGAACACAACCATCTTATCTGGGGTGGCACACTTGCTGTCGAGCCAGAGGAAGCCAGCACCTGCACCACTGCACCACTGTACCACTGCACCACCTGCGCCACCTGCGCCATCTGCACCATCTATGCCATCTGCACCACTGCACCGCTGCACCACCTGCACCATCTGCGCTACCTGCGCCATCTGCACCATCTGCGCCATCTGTACCACTGCACCATCTGCGCCACCTGCGCCACCTGCGTCACCTGCGCCACCTGCTCCATCCGCACCATCCGCGCCATCTGCACCACCTGCGCCACTGCACCATCTGCGCCACCTGCGCCACCTGCGCCACCTGTGCCATCTGTACCACTGCACCAACTGCGCCATCTGAGCCATCTGCGCCATCTGTGCCATCTGCACCATCTGCGCCATCTGCACCATCTGCGCCACTGCTCCATCCGCACCATCTGCACCATCTGCGCCATCTGCACCATCTGCGCCACTGCTCCATCCGCACCATCCGCACCATCTGCGCCATCTGCACCATCTGCGTCACTGCTCCATCCGCACCATCCGCACCATCCGCGCCATCTGCGCCATCTGCGCCATCTGCGCCATCTGCGCCATCTGCGCCACATGCTCTCCCTTGTAACCATAGCAGCTGTAGGAGAGGAGCACTGAGCTGGGTGCTCCCGCAGGTAGGGCAGGACCTGGAGGAGCCAGGGCTCCCCCAGTTCTCAAGATAATGGAGCCACTGACTCTGGCTGTGCCTGGGGCCTGGCACTGACCACAGTGCTCTGTCTTCAGCTCTATGTCTCTATCATTTTTGTGTCACAGGTCCTGTGCAAATTAGTATTTAATACATGACCAGGAGTCCTGAAGTGTCTTATTGGCACTAACAAATTATCATCCAATTCCTGAGTTTTGTTCTCCTGGAATAAAAAGGCTTGGGGGAAGGGGGGGAAAGGTTTTCCTTGTTCACACAGTGCCACAACTCCTCTCTAGCCTTTGTAAGGAAGGAAGACATGAGTGGCCCTGTTCCCTGAGTAGATGGCTTCATTTAGTACAAAGCTGGAGGGTACATCTCATATGAAGCAACCAAAAACTGTATCATCTATAAGGAACCAGAGCCTAGCTCTGCAAAGAGTCTTCTTAGTGGTCCAAGCTGATTTCATTTCACTTGATAAATGAATAACAAACTAAAAGTACTCACACATAGCAGACCTGATCTTTCCTGTCATTTATTGTTTTGACAGCCCACACCGAAAATGACTGTAAGCCAGTGAGACCCAGGCCTCAGGACCCAAACCTCTAACTGACAGGCAGGAACCCAGGCTGCAGGAAAAGCACAGTGTGTGAGAGATGGCATGTGACAAAGACTCTCGGGTGTCATCCAGGCAGCACTTGAATTATTCACAAGATGGCCAGGAGTCCCTACTTCAAAAGATTGCATGCAAGGCCCAATCCTGGAAACTCAGACAGATCCATCCATGTAGAAAGAAGAGAATAAATTAGAGACAAACAAAGCAACCCAGAGAGCAATCACACATTAGCACGGTCAAGTACCACAGCCACATGTGACAGGAGACCAGGTGGCCATGCCCTAAAGTCACACACAAAGCCAAGTCTACTACCAAGGTGTGGCTGGCCCTCCTGGAGACTCATAGGAAACTGGGGCACCCACAGCCTGGACCCTGAAGTGCAGAGTTGGTGGCACACAGGTAAGATACACGGAGCAGACAAATGTCACAGCAATGTGCTGTGGCGGCCTTGACACTGGATGGTGGCCGGTCTGCAGCTCACTCCTTCAGAGCTGAGCACACTAAGGTGCGGATGGGAAGACTTCTACACCTTAAGATGTTATACAGTGAAAGGTTAAGAGCAGTACAATTGTGAGGCTGGTGAGATGGTTCCCGCCGTAATGGTGCCAGCTACTGAAACTGAGAACCGCAGTTTGATTTCCCAAGACCCGCGTGGTAGAAAGAGAAAACTGACTCCCACCGACTGACCTCCACAAGCATTTTGGGGCTGCTGTGTACCCACACACATATACCGAATAATAAATAAATATAATTGTTTGAATTTGGGTTTTAAAGATGGACACATGCTTATAATTCCTGGACACAGCCTGGAGCAGGAAATCAAGAGTTCAAAACCAGCCTAGACTATAGAGGAAGTTCAAACCCAAGCCAGGCTGTAAGGCCCTGTCTCTTAAAAAAAAATAGATGATAGATAGATAGATAGATAGATAGATAGATAGATAGATAGATAGATAGAGTTAATGCTTTTATATACTACTGAAATAAATCTGTTTTGAATAGACTTTGTCCATAATTTGATGAGTTTACCAGAGTGTGTGTGTGTGTGTGTGTGTGTGTGTGTGTGTGTACACAATTGGGAATGGGAATGAGCTGAAATGGAGAAGAGAGACAGATCAGCAGCGATGAGCAAAGTGAGTGCCCCCCACTGCTGCCCCAGGGACGGTGAAGACAGAAGTCTCTGGCTTTGCTGACATCAGCCCATATTAGAGACGAAGGCTAGCATGAGGGCATGCTTTTTCCACCTCAGGAAATAAACACCGGAAAGAGCCCTGGAGACCTATCATCAAAAGAATTAAGAGTAAGTTGGCCAGGACAGAAATACCGAAAGGGTTACGGTTTTTAAGTAAGCTGAAAGATGACAAAACGCAGACTACAGAAGTCTCACTAAAGAAACAAATGGGAATGGGCCCTTCTACAATAGAAGGAACTGCAGGGTTAGGGTAGAACACAGCTTCCCCTCAGGCACATGGAAAAGTTCCCAAATGCCGGGCCACAAGAGGGTCTCAACACATGCAAATGAACTTAAAATGCAAGTAAGACTTCCTACTACTACAGCAGGAAATGTGGGAAATTCATAAATAAATGGAAATTAAACACACCCAGATATATGTTAGAAAGGGAAATCAGAAAATACTTCCGGTCAAATGAAAATAAAAAATGCAGTATGCCGAAGATGAGATGCCACAACCAAGCTCAGGTAGAGGATTCTAGGACTAACTACCTCCACATGGACATGATTTTGACAAGTCATGTTTTAAAGTATACACATAACCCCTGAAATAATTATGAAGAGGTAAATAAATGCTTAGTAAAAAAAAAAACTTACTAAGCATGCTGCTGAGCTCTCATAAACTGCAAAAAGAAGGCATATGCACATCACACTCCATGGGAAGTTTAACATACTAACCAAAGCTTTGGGAAGGCTCTAATTCAGTAACAAAGAAACAAAGGGAGACTACATTTGACAGCCAACCCCACCAATAGTATAGAGAGGAAAGGCCTAGAAATCCCCACGCTGCCACTAGTTGAGCAGGACAACATTGAACCTTTTCTTCAGAGACTGAAGTTCCACACATAAGCCAGGATAAACTTGGTCAAACTGTACTAGCCCCAGTGATGCCTTTAAAAAGAATTCTAAAGGTAAGCTACTTGAAAACCTACAAAATACCCAGACAAACAGGCAGAAAGAAATACACAAACACATGTGTGGCACATAGTTGGGGTGGCTCTCCAACTATGGTCCCACAAACATGCAAACACCTGTGTTTGTTTACTATAGAGTGCAACATACTTTAACCCAGAAAGAATATGTTGGCCAGGGGGTGGTGGTGCACACCTTTAATCCCAGCACTCGGGAGGCAGAGGCAGGTGGATCTCTGTGAATTCGAGGCCAGCCTGGTCTACAGAGTGAGTTCCAGGATAGACTCTAAAGCTACAGAGAAACCCTGTCTCAAAAAAATAAAAAATACAAAAAGAAAAGAAATAAAAAACAATATTTTAATTGAGTCAAGAAATCAAGAGGCCTCTTCTCCTGTTCAATCCAGCTAAAGAATCTTCTCTGACATACGCACAAAAGATGCTTCACAAACCAGTAAAAAGCCTCAGTGTGGAGGAGCCTCTGCCATCCTCCAAGCAGATGTCAGCAGATCACAACAGACAGCCCTGTCAAGGCTGTAGTGAGACCCCGCCTTCAGAACACCTTGTTCTCACTCCGCTGCTCCAGGACAAGACAGCACTGTGCCAATCCAGGGTTTCTCTAGCCATGTCTGACAGACGACTTGTACCGAGAGCATGGAAAGAACTGTGGCAACTCAATACTTAACAGACAGATGGCAGCAGCCCTTCCGCAGAGCAAATACACCAGGGATGAGTGCACTTTGAAAAGGTACTCATTAACCATAAGAGAAACAGCAGTGCGATGAGGGGCCACTGCATACCCACCAGGAGTCAGAAAGGTGGCACGTGCCGTGGCAGACACAGAAGACAAGCTCACGTGCATGGCTGCTGGGACTGAAGAAGTGTCTGTACACATAAGAGAATTTAAACAAGGTACACACAAAAATTCCCACAATGCTCACAGCAGCACTGTTCCTAGGAGCCAAAGAGTAGCTTCATGCAAGGGCGGTTGAGCTGACAGACTAGAGGAACAAAATGTGGCTTGTTGACAGGCCAGGGTAGCTGCTGAAGTGACACGAAGTCCTGAGCTACAAGGATGGACCTTGAAAAAACTTAAAGAAGCCAGTTCCAAAGAACCGAAGTGTATGAAATGCAGCATGGACCCCGTAGGCCAGCCTGGGTTGGGAAAGTAAGCGACTGCAGGAGAGGCTGGGGACAGAAGGAAGCTAAGACACAGAGGGTGTGGAGCTTATTGTGAGGGAGATGAAGATCCTACAATAGCCTGCTGCGCTTGGTTGTAGACTCATTTCGAAGCTATTTTTAAAAATGAAACAGCACTCTCAACTGAGTGCAAATTGCTAGTTTTTGTCACTGGAAGAAGACACTAACCTTGGCCCTAAGGTGGGAAAAGCAGGAGAGCCAGATGAAATTAGCCAAAAGACTTTGGCTTGAAGGAGGTACTTGTTGGATGAGCAAGAAAGGAGTTTGAGAAAGGAATTGTAGCGCAAGAGCCCAGAAGTCTGTCTGCCGCACGTGACCGAGGGGGCCTCTATTCTTAGTTAGCAGTGAAGCACCCACAGCCAAAGGAAGCACACAGGGTGCCTCCCTAGCTTCCTCTGGGGGAGTCCAAAACCACTTCCCATGGGCAGTCAAACGTACGTGCAAGTGGAGGACTTTCTGGTGGCTCCGTCAGAGAGGCTTTTCTGTGTGGCTAGACAATGGTGTCACCTCTGAGAAGGTCTCAGAGGCACTGGTAATAACTGTTTTGTTATATATAATTTTAAAGTTAAAACCTTCCTTTTTATTTAGACAGAAAAGAGGACATGATGGGGGATGTCCTTCTGCATATATGTTTCTCTTATTGGTTGATGAATAAAACAATGATTGGCCAGTAGCCAGGCAGGCAGTATAGGTAGGGCTACCACATGAGAATTCTTGAGAGGGGAGATGGAGAGACACCATGTAGCGAACAGGAAGATACGGAAAGATAGGATGCACCTGGCGTTCTCTGGTAAGATAAGGCCATGTAGAAATACACAGATTAAAAGTCATGGGTTAGCCGGGCGTTGGTGGCGCACGCCCTTAATCCCAGCACTCGGGAGGCAGAGGCAGGCGGATCTCTGTGAGTTCGAGACCAGCCTGGACTACCAAGTGAGTTCCAGGACAGCCTCCAAAGCCACAGAGAAACCCTGTCTCGAAAAACCAAAAAAAAAAAAAAAAAAAAAAAAAAAAAGTCATGGGTTAATAATTAAGAGAGAGAGCTAGCCAGTAAGAAGTCTGAGTCATGGGCCAAATGGTTTATAATCAATATAAGTGTCTATGTGGGACCAGGTGGGACAGAAACTCCATCTACACCCCCATCCTACCCTATGAACTGCCAGGGTCTGAACTGCACAAGAGGGACAAGTAAAACATGGCCAGGCTATGTCTGGTCTAACAGCTCCTACCAGAGACCTGAAGGTACAAGCTGTAGGGTGGGGTCTGGTGAGGTAAGGGCTGGGTGTAGGAAGAGCCTCAGTTCCCTCCTGACTATCTTATCTGGCAGTTGCATCATCTGTTGGTGGCTTTCCCAACCATTGGCTCTGACACGGCCCTGAAGGAAATGTGAAGAGTCGGTGCAGCGCGGCACACACCGTTAATCTCAGCACTGGGCAGGCAGATCTCTGTGAGTTCCAGGACAGCCTGGTCTACAGAGTGAGTGGTTCCAAAGCCACACAGAGAAACCTGGTCTCAGAAAAGAAAAGAAAAGAAAAGAAAAGAAAAGAAAAGAAAAGAAAAGAAAAGAAAAGAAAAGAAAAGAAAAGAAATTGAAATGTAAAGGGTCACTTGCGCTCATCCCCACAGCCATATTCCAGCCTGCATCTGCTCCAAGCTCTGCAAACTCAGCTGCAGAAGCTATTCCTAACATTTCCACACACTCTTCCCTACCTCAACCAAAGGTTGACTTTCAGAAGTCATTTTAATATGTCCCCATCAGCTTCTCCCACAAGTATGACTGGTACAATGAATTCAGTACTTCATCTCATCTTGGATCAACAATATCAAAGCATTCAAAATTAATTTCACTGCTTGTTTGTTTTGCTTCAGTTGCATGCATGTATGGGTGTGTGCATGCAGATGCCAGCAGAGCCAGAAGAGGGTTCCCGACTCCCCAAGCTGGATTACAGGCATTTGTGAGCCATGCATGCAACATGGGTCCTGGGAACCAAACTCAGGCCCTCCGCAAGAGCAGGAAGCATTCTCATCCACTGAGCCAGCTCTCAGTCCCCAGGACTTTTGTTTGTTTGCTTGTTTGTTTTTGAGAGATGTATTTTTGTCTTTGAGACGAGTTGTTGATACACAGTTGAAGCTGGCTCCTGCCTCAGCCCCTGAGTGCTGATGAAATCACAGGTGTATAGCACCATGCCTGGCTTGTCGGCCTAACAAGCACACAAAGTCACTGGTTCCTGGCACAGGAAGCCTTCCCCTTGTGTTCATTTTTCATTAGAAAACAAACAAAAAGCTGGGTCCTCTACACTCCCCACAAAGAACACTGAGAAACATGGCCAGCAGTGTAGAGCAGGCCTTGAATCAGACAGTACAAGTAGGCAGACATGAGGTGACTTCCAATCTAGACACCCATGAGATGAAAGCAGCCGGCTTGGTTTGTGTTCTTCGAAGGAAGGTGTCTGCTACTGCACTAGTTCCTACTTGGCCATTGTTTCTAATTAAGCCAAAAATAATTGAACTCATCACAAAATACTTAAGCACTGTAACAAAATAAGTTTCTGCTGGATTAATTACAGAAACTAAGGAGAGAAAGACCCAACAGTATAAAAAAGAAAAAAAATGCAAGATTTCTTAAGAACACATATACATCCAGGCTTGATGGCTCACATGTTAGGAGGCTGAAGCAGGAGGATTGCCACTAATTCAAGGCCAGCCTGGGATACATAGCAAGATCTGTTTGCTACCACTAACAACAATAATAATAGTCTATGAGAAAAGTAATAGGAAATTCAAATCACTGTGGAAAGGAGCATAGGTCACAGACTCAGAGCAGGGTCATTATTGCCATGAAGGGATTCAAGCAACAGCACAAGCATGCTCAGGGCACTCAAGGCACAGCTCCAATCATCCACGTCACCATGCTAGGGGGAGATTGCTTCTCTTCACCAAACACATGAAGCAGTGGGGTGCCCATCAAACAAGGACCAAACAACAATCAGGTTTGTCACAGTTCTGATTTAAAGTTACTTAAATCAGAATGTTCCAAAGATCACAATCCAGAAACCAAACCCATTCATTCACAACACCATGAAACAAGCACTTTAAAGAAAATAATAACAACCAAAAGAAACTAAGCACAGAGATCATGTACCTGGGTCAATGAGAACTTCTTGCGCCCCTGGAAGAAAGAACAGATTACGGTCTTTTATTTGGAAAACAAAGTCACTTTTAAAGACAACGAGTAGAACACATTTGATAGTTTGCATATACCCTGAGAAGAAGCCTGAGACGCTTGCAACTGCCTTAACAGCAGCTGTGAGCAACAGCATGGCAGGCTTCCATGGGGAAAACAGAGTCTGTTAATCATGACTTCAACAAACAGGAAAGAGCCCCTTACCTCTCCCCTTCCTGCTCTCCAAACTCAGGCTCATCACTCTTCCCAAATGAGTTTCAGAAACCCTCATTTCACCAATAAATCAATAACAAAAGGATTTTTTTCCCAAATATATATGAGCACTACAGACTGAGGAATCAAAGGTTTCAAAGGAAGTGTGATAATGTAATACTCCTCCCCAGATCATTCTGTCAATTAGCCCCTCTCTCTCTCTCTCTCTCCCTCTCTCTCTCTCTCTCTCTCTCTCTCTCTCTCTCTCTCTCTCTCTCTCTCTCTCACACACACACACACACACACACACACACAGAGAGGAAAAATGAATTATGAATTACAGGACACTTGTCAAAGCTAAGGATTTGTGATGTTTAGAGATAGTTTATACTGAAATTGTAGCTCAGTTGGTAGAATGTTTTCTTAGTATGTATTTAGTATGCACAAAGCCCTGAGTTCAATCCCCAGCACCACATGAATTGGGCACAGTGGTACACACCAGTAATTCCAGTGCTTGGAAGAGGAGATCATGGAGGTCAAGGTCATCCTTGGCCACAGAGTAAGTGTAAGGCCAGGATGAGTTACATGTGACCCTATCTCAAAGAAGCTGGTGGAGGCTGGAAAGATGGCTCAGCAATTAAGAGTGTTGCTCTTGCAGAGGACCCAGATTCAGGTCTAGGCACTCACACTATGCAGCTGCCTGTAACTCCAGCTCTAGGGGATCCAACGCCCTCTTCTGGCCTCTGTGAGCACTTTCACACACATGCTACACACACACACACCATGCACATGCCATAAACACATACACATACACATACACACACACACACACAGAAATAATTGTTATTTTTAAAGGATGAAGAGGAGGAAAGGGAGGAGGAGAAACTTTGCAGTAAGCTTACACATGAAGCAGTTAGCTCCACTATTCTCAAGAGACTGGGAAAGCCTTCCTCATCTGCTAAACTATCTTGTTGTCAGTGAGGCCCAAGCAGCATTCCACATGAGCTTGGCCCAAGACTCACACTCATCATTAGCTGTTGTCATTTGTAAACCATTTAATAAGATTCAAAAAGGTAGATCCCAACGGCCTGTGTTCTTACAAAACAGCTCATCTGTTCAACTGTCTGTGTAACGAACAAACTCTGTGATTATGGTGGCAGTTGCCAGCTATGCTATATAATATAGCAGGTATGCGCACGCACGCACACATGGAGACCACAGGTCAACCCTGTATGCCATGCCTCTGAAGAAATCACCAAATTTTGTGTTATTTTCTTTTTGGAGACAGGGTCTGTTAATTGCCTAGGGCATGCCAATTAGGCTAGGCAGACCCAAGAATTCACCTGTCTCTGCTTCCCCAGACTGAGAATCCAATACACCACCATACCCAGTTCTTTTCACATTGGTTCTAGAGGTAGAAGTCAGGTCCTCAGCTGGGTGGTGGTGGCACAGGCCTTTAATCCCAGCACTCAGGAAGCAGAGGCAAGCGGATCACTGAGTTTGAGGTCAGCCTGGCCTACAGAGTCCCAAGACATCCAGGGCTACACAGAGAAACCGTGTCTCAAAAAACAAAAAACAACAACAAAAAGATCAGGTCCTCATGCTTGAGTGGCAAGCACTTTGGTAACCAAGTTACCTCTACAGTCCCTTGTTTGCATTTAATTTTTTTATTTCTCAGTAATGTTGTAGGAAGGATGTGTGCATACATACTATATATGCACACGTACACGTTGTGTACAGCAGGGATGCTAAACCAGAAGACTCTGGAGCTCCAGGCCCGCCTGACCTACACAATGAGACTCTGTCTCAAAAGACATAAACGAAAACAGGAAGTGATCCTGTAGCTTTAGGTCAGAGAGCACTGTGTCTTCATTGTCACTAACCTTGCTGCCGCCCATCCTCCTGGACACTTACTCTGTGTGTGTGTGTGTGTGTGTGTGTGTGTGTGTGCTGAGGCCAGCTTTCATGTGGGCGGGAAAGTACTCTACCACTGAGTTAGATCCCCAACCCCTTTCTAAAATGCAGAACTGGAATTTGTTAGGTTTTTGTTTGTTTGAGACAGGGTCTCTATGTAGCCCTGGTTGGCCTGGAATTTGCTCTATAGATCAGTCTGACCTAACTCACAGAAATCCACCTGCCTCTGCCTCCCAAACGCTAGCATTAAGTACAAGGGTTAAGAGAAAGAGAGACACTCAGGAAGAAGGTAAGGCACCCTGAGAGCACAGCTGTGGAACCCTTAAACAAGAGCCATCTCCGACTTTTTAATTTTATTTTTGAGACCAGGCAGGCCTTGAAGTTTAAACTTAACCATCCTCCTGCCTCAGCCTTCCCACTAAGATTACAACCCTGTGCACCAGGCCCTGGCTCCTCTACTTCTTTACTGGTCTTTTCTCATAACACTATTTCTTCCTACTCTAATTCTATAGAAATTGCCAAAGATAAAATTACAGTCCCAGTATCCAGCGTGCCCATAACCTCAGTAATGGTGGGAGGAGTGGAGCAGAATCAGGTTCAAGGCTGGGGTAGGCTACACGACAAGACTCTCAACCCTCTTCCCAATGTGGCCATACGGAATAAATCTCCTTTTTCTGCTTCCCACTTTTTTGTTTTTAGATTTATGTATTTATTACATATACAGTGTTCTGCCTATACGCCAGGAGAGGGCATCAGACTGAATTGTAGATGGTTGTGAGCCACCATGTGGTTGCTGGGAATTGAACTCAGAACCCCTGGAAGAGCAGTCAGAGCTCTCAACCTCTGAGCCATCTCTCCAGCCCCTCTGCTTCCCACTTTTAATTGGCTTATTGAGAATGGTGACCAGACCTGACGAGAGACACAGGGTAAGACCTACAAGTTCAATACACACATAATGCATATAGCTGAGCATAGTACCTCTACGCAACCAACTCAGCTGAACCAGAAGCCAAGACTTCTCCTGACCCTCAGGGTGCCCACTAATAAGCACAGGGGTAGAGAGGGAATCTTAGGCCTGGCTGGAAGCCTTCCTCTTCTCATCTGCAAGGTGCTGCAGAGCAGTGACATCGAGCTAACCGAATACTCGAGGGAAAGTCTGGCTTCACTGCTGCTCTGACAGCATACCTGAAACCTTCACACGCAGCTGACGAGACAAAAAGCATGGAACCAGAAGGCTTTTTCCAAATACATACTGAGGACTAGTCTGAAGCATCAAATGAAGAAACCACATTCAATGCATCTGGTTTAGGTCCTCTTGTACAAGTGGAAAAAATAAAGACTAATAATAAAAAGCAGCAAGAATAATAAACAAAGTTAAGTACAGCAGCAACACCTATGGAACATCCTGCAAGAATCCTCCCAGGGTCTGCACAATGATCCAGAGCTCATGGACCCCGTTCAGCTAGCACAGGCAATGGTCGGCTTCAGAGCTGTTCAGTCACCAAATTAAAACGTGGGACAGCCAGATGTCAGCAAAAGAGACAGGCTCCCAGATGACAGTATAACAGGATCTGGGAGCCATCTGGTAGGGAAGCTGAGAGGCAGGGATCTGGTCCTTCAAGCAGTCAGCTGCAAAACTTTCTCCCAGCCTTTGCATTTTTCCCAAAAGTAACTGAGGGGTCTGGAGAAACAGTAATGATCTGGTCAAGAGGTTAAGAGCTGGTGCTGCTCTTACAGAGGACTAAAGTTCAATTCCCAGCACCCGCATCTGGTTCCTTACAACCATAACCGTAAGGGGTTCAATGCTCTCTTCAAACCTCCAGATATATCCTCAAACATGTGCAAGGATACATACATACTCACAAATAAATATTTTTTTAACAAAGCAGCCATCTCCCATAAGTTGCTTTTGTCAGAGTCGAAAAGAAAGTAAGAGAGCTTGTCTCTGCCACCCAGTGCTGGGTTTCTCATGTTTGAAAGGCGCATGTTCTTACCCACTAAACCATCTCCCAGTCCCTCTGAGAGAGAGAGAGAGAGAGACAGAGACAGAGACAGAGAGAGAGACAGAGACAGAGACAGAGACAGAGAGACAGAGACAGAGACAGAGAGGGAGAGACAGAGACAGAGACAGAGAGACAGAGACAGAGGGAGAGAGACAGAGACAGAGAGAGAGAGGGAGAGAGACAGAGACAGAGACGAGACAGAGAGACAGAGACAGAGAGAGAGAAAGCGTGTGTGTGTGTGCGCGTGTGTGCATGCGTGCTTCTGTGGTGGTGGTGGTGGTGGTGGTGGTCTGAGGACATCTTGTGAAAGTCAGTTCTTTGCTTCTACCTCGTGAGTTGCATGGGTTAAACTCAGGTCTTCAGGCTCAGGGGCAAGTGCCATTACCCGCTGAGCCATACCCCCAGCCTTTCAATATCTTTGGAAACAAGATCTTTCTCTATAGCCCAGGTTGGCCTGCAACTCAAGACATGGTTCAAGCAGGCCTTGGACTCATGGTGATCCTCCTGTTTCAGGTCTTGAAATTACACAACTTGGTCCCAGTCACATGAAACAAACAGGCGTTTAGGTTTCTTCTCTTCTGTGGCTGGACTCACAAGATATAAGAGAGGACGCTAAATGCTCAGCTTGTCTGCAGTAAATGTTCACCTCTCTGCAGTAAGACAGACTGCCACTACATGCCAGATTGTCTGGAGCTCAGAATCTGAAATAAGATGGCACATCTGTCCCCAGACCCAGCCTGTTGATGTGCTGAATGCCAGCACCTCCCTCTGCTGCGGCCAGTCTCTGACCTCCTGGTCTTCCAGCTGTCACCAGAGTGTTTTAAGGCATAGGCTGTCTTCAACAGTGAAAACTTCCAACATTTTCATACAAAGTGAAGCTAAATAAAGGCACTTCACCTGAGACACGGACAGTTCTTCAGTTGGTTGAGCTTCTTCTGCCCGTACCCAGCAAAGGAGCAAATGAAGTGTCACCCTAGAAGCGCCCAGTCTCTGCCATCACGTCAGGGAGCAGTCGGCACACTGAAAACCTTAAAAAGGCTCTAGAGACCAGAGGCCAAGCACCTAGAAGCTGAGTAAGAGTGAAACTCCAAAGGCTGTGGTGGCACAGCAGGGCCTGCAGGTACACTCAGCACAGCACACGGTGCAGCATCTGTGGGAGTCAGCATGGCCTCTCTGACGACGGAGGTGCCACAAGGGGCCTCTGGTAGGCAAGCATAAAGGGACCTCAAGAACCATGTGCCTTCATGTACTATGACCCCCTTCTAGCATGTTAATTATTGGAGGCCGAAGTTTCCTGAGGGAGCCAAGCCTCTGTGTGAGATTCTACAGGCTGACTGAGCGACTACTCCCGTGGCTACAGGGTTTGATTGTGACAGACCAAGAGCCAAACTTATCCTGGATTGTCGTTAGCACCTTGCCCACATCTGGGACAACAATCTTGTGACCATCAGGTTCAAACCCAGGTGACACATTAACTTGGTAGATCCCTCCTACCTTCCACTCCCCAAAGGCTATGAATGTCATCAGACATTCCCACAGCAGACATGTCCCTGCTTTGCTGTAGCTCATCCGACTGATGTCCTTATCAGTGTACTTGGTGAGTGTACCTGTCTGTGACATGTCCCTGCTTTGCTGTAGCTCATCCGACTGATGCCCTTATCAGTGTACTTGGTGAGTGTACCTGTCTGTGACTGTCTTTGGTTCTGTCACTCTAAAGTCCATATAACCACATACATGGTGGAAAATGTCCCTCTGGACAAGCTGAGTCTATGTTCCTGGACAATAATCATTTACATTTGGTTCAGAATAAACTGCCTCCTTCCCTTTTGAGTGAGAGCTGTGTTTTGCAATGGCACTGCTTTGCCCCCCTTTAGGAGAAAATATGGCTTACTCTTTGTGAAGGTTTCCTAAGAATGTCACAGATCACCTTTGGCTTTGGCCTTGAGGTAGGGCATTCTTCATCTGCTGCACTGTGACCAGTAATACACTAAGGGTCAAAAGTTCATCTGTGGGTCTCCTCATCCAGGGAAGTCTTCCACTCTTTGCTGGAGCCAAATATGAGTAAGCCAAGCTTAACTCACAAGGAAAATTTCAATGAAACCAGAAATAGCCCTGGCCCCTGCATTAGCAGTCAGAACTGACTCCAGGGATCAGTGTTACCCAGTACACAGGTACCCGAGTTCATTCTGCCCAGGAAGTTCAGCAAGAGTTTCTGACTCAGCAATCAGTATAGGTGAGCTCTCCCTGTACCAGTAAGACTGATGAGCCAGGAAACACATCTCTGAGACTTCAGCACGCACAGAGTCCTCCAACATAGAAGCATTCCTCACACAGCAGCGCACGCTACTCCCCGGGCCCCCCAGAAGCTGCAGTGGGTACAGGCTGCAGAGAGGCTCACCTGGCCGGTGCCTGTTGGCTGCTTCTGAGGGAAGTGAGCTGCCTTGGAGCCTCCGAGCCCCAGACTTGCCACCAGTTCCTCCAGGATAGTGGGAAATGACAGAAGCGGAGCACAGCCCTTCCAGGGCAGCTGGGTGACAAAGAGAAGCAAAAGATGATTAGCAGAGTCGCCCTACAGGGGATAAGATCGACTTAAACAGTCATTCTTATTTGAACATGCCAGTTTACCAAAAACAAAGTTTACAGTTAGAGACCATTGGCTGGGCGTGGTGGTACATGCCTTTGTCTCAGCACTTGGGAGGCCGAGGAGGCGGGGGGGTCTCTGTGAGTTCAAAACTGGCCCAGTCTACATAATGAGTTACAGGCCAGAGAGAGCCTGTCTCAGAGAAAAGGGGGGGATCACTAGTTCTGCAGCACACAGAGATGTGCCACCTGTCTCTTGCAGGCCATGTCCAGGAGGGAAACACAAGAGGCTAGCAGGCTCAGGGTGTGACTGATGGCCTATGTACCCAGGAAAACTTTATTTTCTCATTTATTCATAGGACCTTCATTTTCAGGGTTCTTTTTGTTTGGTTGGTTACATTTAATTTATTTAATGGGGTGTGAGTGAGGGCTGTGTTTGGCCAAGTCATAGGACAACTTAGGAGGGTTAGGTCTCCCCTTCCAATATGTAGGTGCAGGGGATTGAACTTGGGCCATCAGGCTTGGCAGCAGGCCCCTTTACCCACTGAGGCAGCTCATTAGTCCTCAGGGACCAGCAGTTTTACACAGGCCACAGAGCTGCAGAGCAGGAAGTATGCTGGCTTGGAGACTTTCAACAGTAGGGTGGGGGTGTGCACAGTAGTGACAGTGTGCTTAGCTAGTGAGTACACGGCCCTATGGAGGGAGGGAGGGAGGGAGGGAGGGAGGGAGGGAGGGAGGGAGGGAGGGAGGGAGGGAGGGAGGGAAGGGAAGGAAGGAATTTAAAAGTAATACCTCCAAGGTAAGGCCAAAATCCCTTCGCCCATATCTATACCATTTAGGACAGCAGCAGACCAATATCCCCTGATTTTTCAAGACAGGGTTTCTCTGTTTTCTTGGATGTCCTCGAACTCACTCTGTAGACCAAGCTGGCCTCGATCTCACAGAGATCCACCTGCTTCTGCATCCAGAGTGCTGGGATCAAAGGCGTGTGCCACCACCACCACCACCCAGCAACCAATCTCCTTCTCAAGGTATTCCTGTACACTTGCTGCACACCCAGGTCTCTCACGGTGGCGCTACATCTTCAGAATCACTACTGTGAGCTGGGAGAATGGAACTGGAGTGAAGAGGTAGGGGCGTTGGCAACCAAAACAGAGGCCAACAACACAGGCTGAAGACTTAGAGGGTACAGGCGAGCAGCAGGTAAGTGAGGGGAGCGACCTCACAGAGCAGTCATCAGGCACTGCCTGCCACACCCCGCCTCTACCTTTCCGTTTCCTCATATCAAATACCAGGGGACACATCCACCCGTGAACGCATCTGGTCAGACTGTCTTACCCCCTAGCCACAGGAAGTCATTCACTGAGCGCAGGAGCTCCACGGACATGTGGTAGTGTACCAGGGCATCCTGCAGCATCCCAGCCTGGAGGCACAAGTCTCCCACGTGCTTCCGCATGCGTCCCTGGCACCGCTTCTTGTAATGTCTGAAAGACAGAATTCAAGGGAAATGCCTTGTTACTGCCACCCCTTCCCCGCCTCGGCCCAGCACCGGCATGAGCATGATGCAAGTTTCTACCACTGACAAGTGCTGAGAGGGTGGTGTTAGGCTCTAAGGTTGGAAGCCAGCAGCATTGCCAGTCACGTGAGCTGCAGGGGTCCTGGTCTCAAAGCTGTGCTTCCGCATGGTTTTTAAAAGTAGTCTGAAGCAAGACTGCTACCTACTCAGACACTGCTACAGTCGGAGCCTTCCTCCCAGATAGCTCCAATTTCAACATTATCACAGAGATCATGGAGCAGATGTCTCAGGTTTTAAGTAAATCAGTGATCCCTTCTACTCCCCCTCCCTCCCCCCACCCCGCCTTTAACTTCAGACCTAGGATTATTCCATAAAAAGAGATGGGGCATATCATCAGCCAGCTATCCGACTTTAGCAAACAGGACCCCTTCATACTCTCAGGGCAAGCTTGAGTAGACACTTAGTTGGGGCTCTTTAAACGTCAGCAAGGCTGTGCTGTAGAACGATGCCCTCAGAAAACACTGCTAACCCTTGGAATATTAAATATGTGATTCTTTTAAAAAGCAAACTGCAGCTGGCTTAAGTGGAAGCAATTCTTCTCAAGACTGAGCCACTACAGGAGTGGGGAAGGTCCTGACTAAATCAAAGGAACTGGCAGATCCCCACAGGAAGTAAAGCCTGTCCAGCCCAACTCTACCAGTCTGCCCTGGCTATCCAGCTACTCTGGGATTTAGCTTCTCTGCACCCAACACTATCAGAAGACACGCATGTGCAGAGATGTAGAGGGGACACATCAGCTTTTCCTACCTAACTCCCTGGCCACAGGGCTACACCAGGGTAGCCCTGCTAACAAGAAACACTATATTAGGCTGTTCTTCCATCCCCAGGAGACACAGCCACAGCCACAGACCCAAGGTCTCCAGAAGAGTCTTCCTGGCCTTCCCACAAGGGGCTACCACTCCCCACATACCTTACCAAAGCATAACCTTGTATGTCACTTTCCTGCTTCAGTTTCCTTCCTGATGATCCCCAGCACAGATCCAGAGAGAGGAGAGTTCACCACCAGCTGCTCTAAGCCCTCATGCCTGGCCTGCCAGCATCCTACCATTCCGGACAGGGCAAGGGCAGCTGAGAACGGTCAGCCCAGAACACTGCTACAAGCCTAGCCTCACCACCTAACGGGGGGGTGTCACTCTGAGGGCTGGAGTCCGCACAGCACTTGCTATTTTTCCAAACAATCTGCATTCAGTTCCCAACATCCACAGAGTGGCACACGACTCTCTAACTCCACTGACAGGGACCCAGCACCCCTTCTCCCTCCACGGGCCCTGCACACACATGGTGGGCAGACATACCCACAGGCAGAAAACTCACAGAATAAAAATAAACAAATCTTTAATCACTCTGTGAGGCTCGGGCTGTAATTTAGTGGCAGAGCACACGTTTAGCATAGTATACAGGGGAAGCCCGAGGGTCCATCCCTGGTACCACACAGAAAGGAAAGTGTAAAAGGATCGTATTTGACTGTACACGCCCTTGCCAAAGTGACTGTCTCTCTGGGGTAAATCTTTTTGGGGCCACCCAACCATCAAGGGATTCTGAGCTTGTGACAGAGCTTGAGCACTTAGGTGAGGAGACTTTCTTTTTTTTTAAGGCTCCAAAACTGGCGAGTTTTAGGTCCTAGCATCACAGAGCAGACTCAGAAAAGAGAAGGTCTGACCGTCCTGAGCCTTGACACATCACCAATTAAACTCTCTGAGAATGCTGCAAAACCCTGATGACCCCACCTCAGATGCTGTTGGTGACGTGAGGTACACAGGTTCGGTGGCGAGCTGTTGGTCGAAAGCTGGCTGGGCTGGCTTGGCCACCCTTCCTCCTCCTCCCCAGAGAGCACTGAGCCTGTGCATCCCAAGATAACACAGTAGCTCACACTTAGAAGCAAAGTCACTAGCTACTATGGTCACAGGAGGTTTGTCTCTTTGAGTCTATTATGAGGACAAACAGATTCCATGATTAGTCAAGAACCTTTCTCCCACTTTCCTATTACCTCTCTCCTTACCTACCCAACCTTCCATTCGAGTTCAAAGAACGGATAGGACATTAGCTGGAAAGCCCATCCTGCCCCTGAACGGCAGCTCCATCCTGCAATCACTACCAGAGCCCAAGTTAATCCGATCTGGCCACAGCAGGGTTTTCACAATCTGGATGGACAGCCCTCTGTATATGCAACACCTTCAGGGCACGTGTCAGCTACCCCAAGAGTCCATACTACTCCTCACACTCCACTACTTGGTCCCTCCCCATTCCCAACTTCCAAAGGGCTCCCCAGATCAGCTCGTCTATTTCTAAGATTCTAGACACAGACCCAATGCCAACACATCCCACCTCCTCTAACTCCAAATTCAACCCTAGCTGTTCGGAGCACCTCTTGACAGCCTATGCCTACCCGCCGCCCCCCTCTAGCAGCTGACTACCCAGATGATCCAGGCAGAACCACAAATATATTTGACCTTCCCTTTGTCCCTGAAGTGTGCCCTGGTACATTCCCCAGGACCTGGCCTGACAGACATCTAGTGCCCAGAGCTGTGTGTTGCACTACCTCTAGGGGGTCCTCACTGTTAGTTTCTCCTGCAAGGGGCACTAGGAGGGTCCTTGTCCCCCACACAGGGCACAGATTCATTGTTCCCCATGGTCTTATGGGCTTTGTGACAAGTCTGCCAGCGTGAGCAGGGGAGAAGAGGAAAGCCCAGGGCAAGCTCCTGTCACATGGATGAATGCAGGACCTCCTGAGTGACAGAAAAGCCCTGCACATAGTAGGACTCCTGCTTTTTTCCCTGTAGCATAGCTCCAACTCCATGTACTAGTGACAATAATGTCCTTTTGGCCCCAACCCTAAATGGGAAGGAATCTCTCAGCAAGTCCAGTCTTTCTCCATGGAGACAAAGTAAATGAAAACTCTAAGTGTTTGCATCTGGCCGGAGCAGAAAGTGGAGGCTCAGAGGCAGTGTGTGGAGGCAGCTGGATGCAGAACGAGACCATTTCCCTCCAGGGAGGTGAAGGGGGGGGGGGGGGGGGGAACATGACACTCAGTCAGCCAAAGATCAACTTGCAAGGCTGACTTCAGAAGCTGAGGGGTCTAAATCTATGACACAGAAGAGTGGCATGCCATCAGCCTCCCCTGCCTATATCAGGGAGGAAAGCCTGGCTGGGAGAGCCTGGGCGGAGCTCTACAGGTAGAAAAGGAATAGCAGTCAGTAACACAGGTCCTCGCATGCTTGAGACTCAATGGACTAGCTATTTTGAAGGTCATGGCTTCCTGGTCTTAGAAAGGTCACCCTTAAGCCCTCTGAAAGAGAGAGACTGCTGTCCACTTAGAGTGGCCTCTACCCTTTCTGGGGAGAAGATGCTCACAAAAAAGGAATAGGGAATGGGCCCCTCAGGGAAAAGCAGCAGAGAAGATGGGCATCCCCCACAGCTCTGCTCCCCACATGTCTTACCTGCACATGTCTTACCACAACCACCATGCACATCCCACAGCCGCAGGCAGCCACCCACCGCATGCCTCCCTTGCTTCCAAGCCTGGGGTCAAGCAGGGCTGCACTCTTGGTATCCCAGGTTAAAAATATCCCCATGAAAACCTCTGCAGCCGCCCGAATGAACTGGCATCTCACATCCTCAAAACGAAAAGGAGTTAGTAAAGGCTTATTTGTCACCAAATACTAAAGACCTCAAAGGTCCCCAGAGCTAGTATTTTGACAAACATCAAACATCAATGGGTTAGGTGCTAAGGAAGCTAAAATCTAAAAGAAGGAAATGAGCAATTAAAGGACTGCTCAGAACACACAGGGATCTAGGCAGCAGTGTTGGTTTTTTGAAGCAATGGCGGCAATGGGAACAGCACATGGGGAAACTAGCCACTTTCACAGTGGTGTGTTCACAGCCTACCTTTTCAGACCCAACAACACACTCACAGGGCGGTATGATAGAAAAGAAAGAAAGAAAAGAAAGAGGGACAAGCAAAATTAGAAACATACAGGAACAAAAATAACAACTTTGAGAGTTACACCCTACATGTACAAGACCCGTGATGGCTCTGATGAGTGGGGCCTGTGCGAGTATAGACTCACAGCCATGCACACCCAGGGCTTGTTCCGCGAGTACAATCAACACATTGCTATTGGACCAGACCAAAGCTGGATGTGCGTCCAGACATTTCCCCTCACGCTACGAGATACTGTGTCACTTCACCTTGGACATGTGTTCATGCTACCAGGAGGAGCAGTCTGGTAGTGAGGCTCTGTCCTGCCTCCTGATCGTCTCAGAAAGCAGAGACTATGGAGTTAGGATAAAACAAGCTGAACCGGCAAAGCTGTGGTTTCCCCCAGCACCATTACCTCCCTCAAGTTCAAAGCAGAGGCTTTCAAGTGGGTTTAGCTGGGACATCAGTTCCAACTAAGGAACTTTCTAACCCTTCCTCCCAGGAAGCCAGGCCATGAAATTACAGGCCCGCTGCAAAGGTGGAGAATGGGCCTAAGACACACCAAAAGTTTCAATTCAGGTGAGACATGAAGATTCTACCCAGACCTTGCCAAAGAGCGCAGACCGTGTGACGGGGCCGCTCTTTGCTTCCAACCCCCTAGCTTCTGCTCTATTCTGAGGACCAAGCAGAAGATTGCTCTGTGACTCTAGATAGATAATTCCAGAAGCATACTACTTGGCCTCACCCATTCTGCAGCAGGCACATTATGCCATTTGAGCCTCACTGGGAATCACGATCTGAATTCCAGATGATGAAGCAGGACAGACTCAATTCTTTGGGCTCCTGCCTGAGGCCATCAAGCCTTTGAGTGACACAGCTACCTTGAACCCTCCCTATCAAAAGGGAGCCCCTCTTGGCAAGGGCTTCTGCCTAAACTTGTGTCTCACCTCTTCTGCCAGCAGCCACAGTGGCGAGATTGTGGCATGGGTGGTGGGCTAAGGGCGTGACAAATGGCCTGAAGTGTCAGGGTATAATTGTGATCCAAGGAAAGTGCAGGGGACAGGGCTAGGGACAAAGCCCACAGGTTGTCCTGTTCCTTTTTGAAATGCAGAGCATGTAGACATGTCAACGTATACAGATGGCTCTCCAGGGGCGCCTGGGTGGTGTTTCTGACCTCCTGCAGCTCTAGGGTAAGGGAATGACCTGGTACCTGTAGAGTGCCTAGCCTGGGAGTCAGAGACCTAGACTGCATTCCCTACAGAATCTCATCTGTGCTCTAGGGCAGCATGGACAGATGAGCATCAGCCATAGAGGCTAGTTCAAGTGTCTAGTTGCCACATAGTTTGTGTTTTCTTTTCTTTTCTTTTTTCTTTTTTTCTTTTTTTGAGACAGGGCTTCTCTGTGTAGCCCTGGCTGTCCTGGATCTCATTCTGTAAATGAGCTGGCCTCAAATTCAGAGGTCTGCCTGCCCCAGCCACCTGAGGGCTGGGGTTATAGGTGTGACCCACCATAACCAGTTAAAAAGTAAAAACGGGGTATGGAGGTGGCTGGTTGGTAGTGTGCTTCTTTGGCACACAGGGAACCCTGGATCTGAGTTCCAACACAGCATTAAAACAGGTGGGATATGGTGGTCTCACCTCTAATGCTACCAGCACCTGGACGGGGAAGGCAGGAGTTCAAGGTCACTGTCAGCCACATAAGAGTCTGAGACCAACCTGGGTTATGTGAGATCCTATCTCAAAAATAAGGGTTGAAATAAATGTTAGTTTCACTTTTAACCTAACATATATCAATGCAAAAAATATTCACGATCCATTGTACATTCTTTTTTCAGTATGTGCTATATTTTACACACAGCTCATCCCAGCTCACTATAGCCTGTTTCCTGGTGCTCAGAAGCCACAGGCAGTGATGACTGCAGGCGTCTCACCAGAGGACTCGTGACACCCAGGAGTGCATGTGCTGACCCCTAAGAGGCTCCTCTTGTTTAGTGGCCAATAGGCCACATCTCAGCGGTCCTTGCTGCGGCACTCTCTTGCATCACTTTTGCCTCCTACGTGAGGAGGCACCAAGCTCTGGGCTTCTAGGTCAACCATCCCTACATTAACTTACCTACTATCCGTGTCCAGTCCCACGAAATCCTTCTTCTCAAAAGGGACACAGAGAAGGGGGATCTTGTCCCCGGACTTGTCAGTAGCTCTGTCCAGGCGCTTGGACTCCAGAACAATGAAAAGGGACTCGATGAAGTCTTCGATGCGCTTCTCCACCGAATCGCAGTCATCGTAGTTGGGATAAAAGGCCACATCGGGGCGCGGCTGCTCGGTCACATCACCCTGGAGCCCGAACACAAAGAGGCGGGAGTCGTAGAGCGTGGAGCCGTAGATCTCCTTCTGCACGTGGAACTTCTCGAAGGTCTGTGGCCAGTCCTTGGCCGAGAAGCAGTCAGTGATGGTGATGAGGCCCACCACCTTGCGGTGCGTCTGGAAGTCCCCCCATTCGTTGTTCTCAGGAGGGTAGTGGTGTCGGTAGCGGATGAAGAGCGCGCGCTGAGAGTCGCGCACACTAAGCTGATTCACGGAGCAGATCCGCTTGTAGATTCTGAAGAAGTTCTCCTCGGAGACGATGCCCACAGCCTGTACGACCACCAGCAGAGTCTGGTGGTCCTCCGCACACTGCATGTAGTCGGGGACGCTCATCCTGAGGGCCTGTCTAAAGGGAAAAGAGGTTCTGACAGGCGGCTCTGCTATGAAGAGCTCACACCGACCCCATTAGCAGTGGCAGGGGGAAGACTTCGGTGACACACACCAGGTCTACTCCCATTAAGCCTCGGGGACAACCCTGGCTACCGCTCTGAGAGGCCACAAGTGATTTACACAGTACCCCCACAAGGCTACTTGTCTCTTCCGTGAGAAGCAGAAGTTGAAACTAACCATGGACCAAATACTTAAGTATTAGTGAACTTTTCCTGACAACCAGATTTGAAGAAATAAGAATCTCTTCATGGACAAGAGTATCACTATCCTGTCAGACCCCTCAGTTTAATAGGTAAACTCAGCACACTTCTGGTTAGAATTCCAACCTGGTTTCTGACAGTGAGACAAGCTAATTTGTGAGCAAGGGTAGCTAAGATTCCTGATACGCCACCACAGAGGGCAATGTATCCCTCAGGAAAGCAAGACCATGTAGAACTGCTCTTGAGGTCTCTGTACAGAGTGACAAAAGTGATCCACACGCAAGAGGCCAGAGTCAGATCATGAGTTCCTGGTCAGCCTGAACCACACAATCATATCTTATCACTTAAAAAAAAGATGCTTTTAATCCCAGTCACTTAGGAGGCAGAGGCAAGCAGATCTCTGTACATTTGAAGCCAGTCTGGTCTACAGAGTGAGTTCCGGGAAAGCCAGAGGGGCTAGAGAGCACTGGCTGCTCTTCCAGAGGTCCTGAGTTCAATTCCCAGCAACCACATGGTGACTCACAACCATCTGTAATATGATCTGGTGCCCTCTTCTGGCCTGCAGGCAATGCAGGCAGAACACTGTACATAATAAATTATAAATAAATAAAAATATAAAATGTGCCTTTTTAAACTTACAAGTCTGAAAGCATTCAGAATATCCATTGTTGAACACTGTCACCACCATCTATTTCCAGAACCTACTAACAACTAACTCTCCCTACCCCCTCTTTCTCTCTACACACACACACACACACACACACACACACACACACACACACACACACACACGAACCTGGAAAGCAGTAGGCTGAAAGAAGCCAGACAAAGCTGGACAGTGGATGATTCCACTAACATGAAATGCCCAGAACCTGCAAATCCATAAAAAAGGGAAGCACATCTATGGCTGCTAGGATTTCCAAGGGTTAGGGATGAAGGGTGACTCTCTAAAAGGTATGGGTTTTCTTTCCCAGTAATAACAAAGTGTTCTGGAATGGTGATAGTCACACAACTGTGAAAATACTGGAAACCCCTGGAGTGCATGTGAAGCGAGGAACCCCATAACCTTGCACATGTTAGGAAAGCTCTCTCCCCACGAGCACTTACCCTCTCCCCTCTTTTTATCTAAGTTTTATCTAAGTTTCACTAAGTTGCCCAAGCTAGTCTTGAACTGGCAATCCCCTGCCCCAGTGCTAGGCAGTTACAGGCAAACACCACTATACCGGCCTGTTTCCCATTTTTTTTTTTAATTTAAGATTAAGTTTCTTAGCCGGGTGGTGGGGCACATGCCTTTAATACCAGCACTTGGGAGGCAGAGGCAGACGGATCTCTGTGAGTTCGAGGCCAACCTGATCTACAGAGCGAGTTCCAGGACAGCCTCCAAAAAACAATACAAAGAAACCTTGTCTTGAAAACCCCCCCAAAAAAAGTTTCTTGACAATATCTCCTCCCCTCCCCCATTAGTCTACCATCTAAAAATTTTTAAAAAGAAAACCAAACCTCATCAGGAAACATTCTGGAAAATCCTAGGTTTCCAACATCATGCACCTGGTGCTACTGTTCAGTAATAACAGACAAGGCAGATGAGGAAGCAGCTGTAACTCTGCAAAGTCACTGTTTTAAAGGGGGTGTGTCGGCCACATACTTTTCCTTGAATTCAACAGAGCCCGATTTCAGCTCCGTTAAAGGCCACACTCATCTGATACAACACCAGAAAGCTCTGCTTAACAATGTAACAGGGAAGAGAGGTTACAACAGAAAGCCATGATCAAAGGCCCAGTGCGGTGTAACACTTTCTCCGCCCAAGCTGTCACTGGAGGCAAACTGGAGTTTTACAGAGCCAAGATTTCATTCCAGGGAAACTGCCCAGCCGGGCTGGACTGGAGACACTGCGCTGCTAGACTGGGTCGCTGGGGATGGAGCACCCGGTTCCAGGTGCAGCATTGTGGGCGAGGGGCGTGGCGCACCGTGCAGCCCAAGCCAGGCTCCAGCACGGAAAAGAGGAGGGACTGAGAGTCAGAGACTGCCAGGCCTGCCGAGAGCTGCAGGTGCAGACCATCCGGGACAGGTGGATGCAGATCCTACAGGTGCGCACCCCGCACCGCAGGTGCAAGCAGGACAGGGTAGCAGCCTGTCCCCTCAGGGGACCTGGGCAGACTCGGGGACCTGGACAAGCAGAGGACCCGGCAAACAGGGGACATGAGCAGACACGGAGACTCGAGCAGGTGCAAACAGGGCTAATCACCCAGCCAGTCCCTCCGGCCCCGAACCCCAACGCGGGGCCCCAGCCGGGCACTTACTCAGCGTGGCGGTCCCTACCAGGAGCCGAGGCCTGGAGGGCGGCGGGACCGAGCAGCCAGGAACCACCAGCCCAGCCGGCGCAGCTCCTGCGCGTGCGCAAGGCGTACTCGGGCCTAAGATCTGCCCCGGGTTTTCCCAGAGACCTGGAGCCTGCGAAGGAGGCTGGGAGGAGGGAGGAGGGAGAGGAGGGAGAGGAAGGAAGAGCAGAGGGTGGGACTGGAAGAAAAGGAAGGACGTGGATGATCGGGAAGGGAGCAGGAAGGGAATGGAGATGGGAGGAGCCAGAGGAGGAGCGTAGGGCAGGAAACCTAAGGGAGGTGCCTATGGTGGGAACGGCCAGTCTTCCATTCCGGGCTGGATTTGCCCTTCCCTGGTGGTGGCACCCAGGGGAGACCCCAGTATCACCCTGGCCACTCCTCGCTAAGCCAGACTATATGGCCCTCAAGCGACTTGGCGTTCCAACCACGACCCTCAAGCCCCCTCACCCCCTTACAGGTTGGGAAAGATGGTATGTGTAATATAAGAATGCCTAGGGGAAGCCGGGCATTGGTGGTGCACGCCTTTAATCCTAGCACTCGGGAGGCAGAGGCAGGCGGATCTCTGTGAGTTCGAGACCAGCCTGGACTACCAAGCGAGTTCCAGGACAGCCTCCAAAGCCACAGATAAACCCTGTCTCGAAAAACCAAAAAAAAAAAAAAAAAAAAAAAAAAAAAAGCCTAGGGGACGCCTTCTCTGAAGAATGAGGTCAAGCTTAAGCCTGAATCAGACTAGCTACCTTTGCAGTCAAACCAGGATCCTGACATGGGCCCCAGCACAAAATCCATCCCCTAAAGGTTCCTGAGCCCCTTGGAGGCCAGTCTGCCAAGAAGCTGGGTAGTTCCTGAAGGCTGTAAGACCCCGTGTGTTTATAAAAAGGAGAGAATGTATGGAGTATTCGGTTTGAAGCTTCTCTACCTTACACAGGCATTTCTTTTCATTTAAAAAGTGCAATTAAAAATAGTAATGGGGAACCAGAGTGAACCACTCAGCAAGTACAAGAGAAAAGTCATCTGAGGCAAACTAGCTTTAAACTAGCAAGCATTTATTTGTTCTGCTATGTATCCGTGCTGTTTTATAACTTGCTTGTTTATAATTCACCTTTTTAATAATATTCTCATCTTTATCCTTGTCGAAGCCAGTGAGTTTGTGTTTGTGTTCAGGTTTTTGTGTGTGTGAGAGAGAAGAGGGAGGTCTGTGTGCCGGGAGCCAGGCTCATGTTTATTTAGCACTGATGCATCACAGATCATCACAATAGAGCTATGCTGCACATTGGGGTACAGAAAAGATGCACCATTTGGCTAGGAACATGTAAGTGGCTGGTGCTATTTAAGGGTTTCAATCCAGGACACGTCCAACTCTTTCATAGTTCTTTTCTGTTCTAATTCTCTATAAATAGATAACATACACACATTGGGAAGCAAGATAGGAAGCTGGCAATAGGAAATGTTGCTTTTTTATGCATCACTCTCCTGTTTATAATGTACCCACTGTATTCTTTCACTGCCCTGGCACCTGTGTGGGAGGGGAACACCTTACCAAACAGAAGAGGGATAGGACAGTAAATAGGAATAAGCTTGGCATAGTAAAAGCTTGCCACATCCTCAGGCCACCAAGCTAGGGTGTCCAGGACAGGCCCAAAGCTGTCTTTCACTGTCTCTAACACATTGTTTACTATCTGTAACATTTCCCCCAGCATCTCCTCTGAAGGGTGGGAATTCAAAGATATACAAAGACTGCCTGTAGGACATTTGTAGACAGCTAAGGTTAGTAAAAATAAAATAATCAGTTCTATGAGGAACAAATGCTCTTGCCCAAACCCAAGCTGGATTTGGAGACACAGTGTGCGGCGAAAACCACACTTTGCTCATGGTCTTACAACCCCTAGTAAGCAGACATACACAGATTAGTTACCAAAAACAATTTTCCCATCACACATCCCTCGTCCAGATCCTCACTGACCAAGAACTCTGGGGTGTATAGTCTTAACCAGATGTTGTCTAGGTTTGGCTTTGTTTTTGTCTTAAAGACAGAATCTCACTATGTAGCCTTGGCAATCCTGGAGTTTGCTATGGAGCCCAACTGCCCTGGAACTCACCTCTGCCTCCACAGTGCTAAGATTAAAGGTGTGAGACGCCCCACCTGTTCCTCATTACTTTCTTAGGTATCCTTCCTTCTCTTCCTCTTTATGTCCATGTCTCACAACAAAGACTTTCTTAGTGGCTTTTCCCACCCCAGCACCAGTTACTCAGGGACCCTCCAGAGGCATGGACTTAATCCCCTACACAAGCTGCCTGTGATTTTCCCACCCTGAGTCAAACCTCTGGTTTGGGAGGAGTGGCAGCACCCTGACTGTCCCAACAAGCAGGCACCAGCTGCCTATCTGTCATGAAGTGTTAGCCTCCCAAAGGCACTTTTTACCTCGAACGTGGACCATCCTATTTTATTTACAGCACTTTCACCCTCATATTCACACCAGGTCCCAAGAGAGTGCTTAGTAGAGGTGGAGGCTTTGGTGGCACCTACTTCTTTTAACCGAGGCTTCTGTAACATATGATGGTAGGCTGGGTGACTTAAACAGGGGTACTTACTGGTCAGTCCTGGAGGCTAGAAGTATGAGGGTAGGATACCAGCAAAGCCATATTGTCATGAAGCCCTTGCCATGTGCCGTGACTATGAAGATTGTCCACCTTTGTCACATGTAGAGTTTACATGGCAATTTGATGGCATTGTTTAAGAAAGATTGGGTTTTAATTCGGCATAAAATATTGGGTATAATATGCAAAAATAAGATAGGACTTATTACTAGGCTCTGCAAAGACCAATCGTCATCAATTTTTACTGTGTTTTATGAAGAAACAGTGTGTGCAGCTATTTACTCCAGGAAAAGACTGTGAAATTTTATTACACTTTTGTAAGTAATATTAAATTCTTTGTCCACACTAATACTGTACATAAGAAAAAAGAAATGTGTTGATGTTTAATCCTTATGATGAGGTACTGAGGGTGTGGAAACATCATCTGGCCTTGGTGACTAGAGGTGGATAATTAGGAGACGATTAGGATTAAGGTCCTGGGCATGATTAAGATTAAATACTGGTCACTTTGTAAGAAAATGGGTAAAACACAGGCAGATACAGAAACAAGCACACTCCTTGTCTGGTGTGGGGCTCTGTGCGGCATGGGACACTGGCAGCAATGCCATTCCCGGATGGGGCCACTGGACCTTGTGTCCCACAGTACAAAGGACAAATAAGCATCCGTCCTTCACAGTTTACCAGTGCTTGGGTGCTATTCCAGGACAGCAGCTAATGCACCAATAGGACCCTCTCTGGGTTCCAGACTGCTAATTTCTTGTGTCTTCATAGTGCATGGATTCAGCTAGCCCTCTGTCCTCTTTGAAGGACACTGATCATACTAAGGTCAGAGCCCTTCTGACTTCATCAACTTCCCTAAGACCAGATCTCCTAAACCATCACATAGGAATTAATCTCAACATAGAAATTTGGGAAGAACTTATTCAGGCCATAACAAGTTTGACTAGGAGATTCTTCAGTAACCTGAGTACATACATCAGTGGAGCAATCGTAGACCTTGTCTAGGGAGGAGACAAGTGTGCCAAAGAAAGAAGGAAAGAAACAAGAAAAGAGCAGCCAGGTGGCTTAGCTTGGAAAGACACTTGCCACTGAGACTAGTGACCCAAGTTCCATCTCCAGAACTCACAGAAGGGAAACACTGACTCCCAGAAGCTTTCCTCTGATCCCCAAACCTGCTGAGAGGCATAAGTGTCCCCACTCTCAAACACCTTACCCACACGATGATGATGATGATGATGATGATAAAACTGGCAAAAAAGAAAAAAACGAGAAAATTGTCTAGTAAAAAGAGATAGAATATGCCAGGTGGTGGTGGTGGCGTCAACTTTAATCCCGGCACTTGGGAGGGAAAAGCAGCTAGATCTCTGAGTTTGAGGCCAGCCTGGTCTATAGAGTGAGTTACAGGACACTCAGGGCTACACAGAGAAACCCTGTCTCAAAAAAAAAAAAAAGAAGGAAGGAAGGAATAATAAAAAGGAAAAAGAAAGAGGGAGGGAGAGAAAATCTGCTTCTCTGAAATACTCAGTCATAGAACCTCAAAGAATAGGACCAAACAGGATTGGTAGGATTGACAATTACCATAGTCATAATTAAAACTGTAGTGCAGATTGGAGCCCCTAGCCATCACTCTTTAAATATATGCCTTCAATGTCACCATCTATTAAGTGGAATGATTGCTCCAAAGGACTGTTATCAGGATTAAACAAAATAAAATGTAAAAAATCAATTGGACACAAAGTAAGGCAAAATCAGTAATAAGGTGTTGATACGTCTTTTTTTGCCTGGGATAATCTCATATTGTCCTAGCTAAAAGTATTCTGGTCGGTGACAGGACCACCTCATGCTGCATAAACACTGTCAGATCTAGGGGCTTCTATTTCCCACGTGAACACAAAGCCATCTCGAATCTGGGCTTTCTTGTTCACAGGCCAAGGCGTGGGGAATCTATTTAACTGCCTTATTCAGCATCACCAAGAAGCCCCTAGATTAGACCTTCAGAACTCATCCCTCAAAACACTGTAATTATGGGACTGGAGTGATGGCTTAGTCAACAAGTGCTTGTGTCCCAAGCATGAGGAACTGAGTTTGGCTCTAGCACCCACATCAAAAAATAGGTGTGGTGGAGTGTGTCTGTAATCCCCAGCACTAGGGAGGCAGACACAGAGGGATCCCTGGGATTTTTGAGCCAACTAGCCTCACCAGAACTCCAGGTTTACTGAGAGATCTGAAAAACTGACATGGAGAGAGACTGAGGAAGCCACACAAGGCTGACCTCTGACCTCCACACAAACAAGCACACACAAAAGCACACACACACATATACACTATAGACACAAATAACACAGTGGTGGTGGCTACTGTTTCTGGAGCTCCTACCTTATCATTTGCAATGAATGGGCTTCTCGTAAGTGTCTCGTATAAGCTCACTTTGTTCCTGCAAAGCAGGTCATCCCAGTTAAAAGGGCAGCCATACTCCTTGTGACAGTTCTTTGGTATGGAGTCACTGAAAAATAAAATACATATATTAGACAATGTAAACCACGCTGTTGATTTATTGTCGGTATGTTGGGTGGAGAGGACCCAGAATTTGGGGGTTTGATATCCTAACTCCTCCTTTAGAATTATTCAGACTCCAGTATAGACAGCAACTCTCCCCTTAAAGTCAACACTTAGGGTTAAGAGCAAATACTCTTCAAGCAGAGGACCAGAGTTCCAAGCCCAACAACTGTCTGTAACCACAGCTGTAGAGGATCTGCCCCTCTGACTTGTGGCACCTGCACTCAGTGTGCCCACACCGGTACACTTAGTAAAGTCAACAACTAGAAAGGAAGACTTTGAGGCAGCTCTCGTGTAGCCCAGGTTGACTTTGAAACTTGCAACGTAACCTTGATCTTCTGAGTCTTTTGCCTTCACCCCCACAGCTCAGGATTATAGGGATGTGGGGGTTGAGCCCAAGACTACATGCATGCTAAGAGAGCAGTGTGCCAAACAGCCTGGAATTTAACCCCAAGGTTAGATGATTCAGGCTCATCTCAAGCCTCGCAGGGCCTCTGTGAGACAGCTCTGCTGTCCAGGTGGATGGAAAGTGAAGGAAAAAGGCTCAGGGGTAAATAAGCAGCAGGCCAGGGTGCCACTCAGGTTTTGAGGTGTACAACGGCTGAGTTCGGAGGTGGAGCCACACGAGAGAGGCTGTGTCCCCCTTTTGCAAAACGCTATCAAAGTGAGAGGGCAACACCGAAGTGTCAACCAAACCGTGGGCTTCTGGGGAACAGGGTCGAAATTGTAAAGCCTGGTGTCCCTCAATCCATTGAGTGAGTGAGTGAGTGAGTGAGTGAGTGAGTGAGTGAGTGAGTGAGTGAGTGAGTGAGTGAGTGAGTGAGTGAGTGAGTGAGTGAGTGAGTGAGTGAGTGAGTGAGTGAGTGAATGAATGAATGAACCAAGAAGTCCCTACGCCAGCACCAATCGGCCAATCAACGCCTTTGCCAGCGGCCCCGCCCCCAAGGCCACACCTCCCGCGCGCTGTCAGAGTTCCCTCCGGATGCTCGCAAACTCCGGAGTAGTGGATTCTAGGCCCCTTAAGAGACTGCGCATGCTCCGCGGCGCCCCGGGGGCAGATTTGAAAGCGATTGGCCGGGAGAAGCCAAGCTCCGCCCGACCCCGCCCACCCCAGCTCAGGTCCTATCCACGGCCGAAGGCTCGCCTTTCCCAGCACCGCCCCGCCGCACGCCGCGCAAGGCGGAACCAATCGTCAACCAGGTAGAAAAAAAAAGAGGGAGGTGAACAGGAAGTGACGCGCAGCAGCAGCGGAAGGCGGGCGGGCGGCGCTTGTTGCCCTGGGAACTGAGCTCTCGACCTGCGTCAATCGTGCATCATAGGTAGGTCGGCCTCGTACCGTTTACGCATGCGCGGTCGTTGATGCGAGCGCGGGAAGAACCCTAATGTAGGCCAAAAAATGGGTTCAGAGTCGAGTGTGAAAGTGGTCTGGGTCGGGCGAAAGGACATGGTGCCCGACCTGGACCAGCCCAGCGACCCAGGAGTTGGCGTGGGTGTGCGAGATTTCAAACTGAAATATATATATACACGTATATGTATTTTTTTCCTTTTGAGACAGGAGCCCGTGAAACCCAGGTTGGCTTTGAACTACATAAGTCGCAGAAGGTGGCCTTGAACTCCTGATCCTGTAGTCTCTACCTTCCTCGTGCTGCCATTCGTGTACCACCACACCCGGCTTATAATATGCTGAGGGTCAAACCCAGAGCCTCTGGAGCCTCTCTCGGCCAAGCCCTCCGCCAACAGGGCTAGTAGAGTCAGCCCTCCCCTTGTTTTCATTCCAGCCGTGCTGGAACACTGGATTCAGGGTAACTTGAATGAATTCATATTCACTCCTGTTTGGATCAGAATAAACTATCTTCTTAGGTTTTTTTTTCAAAATCATCCCCTGATTGGATGTTAGTAAGGCCATTTAAATAGAACAGTTCCTCGTTCTCAAAGAGATTATTAATACATGTGGGAAATGGTTTGGAAACAGTATGTGCTTTCCAGCTGTAAATGTAAAATTGACATGAGTTGTCAACGAAACTCGCAGCTTTATGCAGATTCATCAAAATTTTTCCTTTTGCCCAATTTATCGTTGTCTTGGTGTAGCTATCATGTAGAAGCAACACATTTTGCATTAATAAGGAATAGCGTTTTCACACACAAGAACTTGTTAAAATTTGTTAGTTAACCTAAGTATTATATTTGCGCTTAAGTGCTCAACCAATGCACAGTGCCCCCTTATAGAACAAGAAATACGGTTCAGAAGTTTGTGATTCAATTTTAGAAAATGGAATTTTACCCTTAAGAGAGAAGTATAGAAAATAATTAGAAAATAAAAAAATCCTACCAAGAATTAATCGGAGAACCTGCGATTCCACATATGACCACCAGATGTCAGAAGGTGCCAGCAGCCATGCTAGGAAAACAAGACATCTGGGTTGAATTAGGATCTAATTGCCTCAAATTGTCTCTGAAACCCAGGGTTTTGTCAGTTTGTCAGGGATCCTGGGTCAGGGAGTCCTAGGCAAATCCTGAGTAGACAAGCAGAGGAAGACCTCATAAGAGAGATTTAAATGAATTGGCAGTGGTTTAATTCTTGTACAGTAATTTAAGAACTCAAATGATGCTGGGCACAGTGGTTCAAGCTTTAATCCCAGAACTATGGAGGCAGAGGCATGCAGATCTCTGTGAGTTCCAGGCCAACCTGGACTACATAGAGAGTCCCTTATGGCAAAAAGAAATATAATTCGAGTTATTAAGTGCCCTGCTTTTTATTACATTGTATATCAAATGTCACATAATTGGAAACATACATTGTATATATGTGATGCTGTTGCCTTAGAATGTTGGCCTTATACTCTGTACCTTAACTACTACAGCATTAAATAAAAATTATTTTTAAAATGTATTTATTTGTTCACATGTATATGTGAGTGCTTCTGTGCTGTCTTTAACCCCAGCACTTAGGAAGAAGACACAGGCAGATCTTTGTGAGTCTGAGCACAGTTGGGGCTACATGGAGAAGCCCTGACTCAGAAAAACAGGCAGGGGCAACTCGTGGTAGAGCATACTGTAACCCCAACTTTCAGGACTGCAAGTCCAAAGCCAGCTTGGGGTGCATAGCCACACAGCAAGACCCTGTCTCAAAGAGAAATGGGTGTGGGGGAGGGAGATGGTTCTGTGGTTAAAGTGCTAGGGAGTTAAGATCCTGAGAAGCCATGTGAAATGCTGGGTGGGCATGGTGGCCAGCCTGTAATCCCTGTCTCAGAAGGGAAAAACAAGGGGCTCATGATGAAGCCGGCTGGCAAGACTGGCTGTGTTGTTGATCTGGGTTGTGGGTTGAATGAGGGCCCTGCCTCAATGAGAATCAAGGAAGACCTCCAACATCAGCCTCAGGTCTCTGCGTGCACATGTACAAATGTGCAACTCACATGCACCCACCCACATGCAAAGCCACACATGCATGCCACAAGAGAGACATGACAAGAAAAAGGAGACAAGATATCCAGAGACTGAGAGATGCTTCAGTTGATTAAGTCTTTGCCCCACCTGAGGACTTAAGTCCTCGGACTCAGTGTGCATTGAGGAGGTGGGGAGGAAGCAGAGATGGAAGGATCCCGAGTCTGGCTGGTCAGCTAGTTTACCCGGATCAGTGAACTCCCAGTCTCAAAACTAAGCTGAAGATCAATTGAGGAAAGCACTGCATATCAGCTCCTGGCCTACACAAACACACACACATACACCTATCTGACAGGACATGTCACACTCACATGCACACAAACATACAGATGTGTCTAATAAATGCATTTGTAAAATTCTTCCATCAGCAAGATGGCTTGGCAGGTAAAGGAGTTCATGGCCCTGGGCTAGAATTCAAGCCCCAGGACCCATATGGTAAGAGGGAACTGACTCCCACAAGTTGTTCTCTGACCTCCATATGTGCACCCCTACACTTATGCACATATAAACAAAATGTATGGAAAACAAGTTTAATAATTCTGGGATCTGAGACTAGACAGTCACCCAGAGTTCTTCTGTAACGCTGGGGCATCCATCTTCAGACCAAGGGTGTCTGGCAGACTTCTCAGGAAAGCAGGAAATTTGAAACTGTCCTGAATGTATTAGCAGCTTGCCAGTCATTGTTCTCTGTGTCCTGCAGAATGTCTAGCAGACTCTTCCATGAAGCACGAACCCTGAAGGACTGTCCCATCTTGTTTTGGCAAATTCAGCAGTCACTTGCCTGTGGGTCCTATATGTCTAGTTTATACAGCACACAGTCAAACAGTTCAGGCAAGAGCAGTTTCTTGCCCAAATGGCTAATCTTGCCATGTCAAAGGCAAACTCCATAAGGAGTTTCTTTGATGCCAGTCTTCCTCTCTGATGTAATTGGTTTGCCAGGAGCAGTTGTGTCTCACTGTCATGAAAACCCTAATAAACCATTTTAAATGCCATATTCTGCAGGTCTTTGAAAGGTTTTAAGAATATCTATTTGAAATGTATTTCTGTATATCTAGAAAATCTAACATAAGTTTTGAGTGTTATAGGTGACTACAATCTGTATTTAATTATATGTTACATTTTAAAAGAGCTATATAAACGCAATACTTAAACATGAGGAGAAATATACCAATAACAAATTGACTTTAAATTTGTATCAATAAATCAAAATCCACACCAATACAAAGTATTCATTTCTATATTATATTCCCCTTTTATACTTTAGAAGGAGATTGACTGTTTGGAGGTACTGTCGATACCACAGGGATCCCGAGAAAACCCAGAAACCTGACCAAATCCTACAGCTACATCATCTCAGCTGTTTTGGATGTTGGATCACCTGGGCCACTGCTTCAGGGGGTCTTGCTTGATCAAACCATACTAGTCTGGAAGGAATCCACAGCTTTTCATTTTCTGTGGAAACAAAAACAAAATCTCTTTTCCAAAGTAACATGTCCTTGGATTTAAATTTAGGATTCAAGGCATTTTCGAAATATATAAATTGGATTAATCCAGCAGGATTTATAATCAAATGTCTTTTAACAGCTATTGCTCCTTCCTCAGCAACCAAACAATTCAAAGACAACACAATAGCATACAGTTTCCAAACTCTCTGTGTACTTTCCATCTTACATGGCCTTTTTATTATTCTATTTCCTTGTGATCTTTTTCTGATCACAAGTCTTTTATCTGCTAAACAGCAAAGTTAAAATTAAAGCGGCAGCTAGCCCCATTCTATTCCTTGGCTTTTGAAGAGCCTAGCTTCTTTAGTAGCTTCATGCTTATTGCCACAACTCCATGGATTTTCTAGGTTCATGCTACCACGAAGAAGCATGTTGCTGGCTGCTCATAAACACCACTTAATTGTTTGGTATCGAAGCCTCTTAAAAGAGTCCTGTACTTTTTGTCATTAGTTCTGAGTCAGGAAGCCTCTTTTAAAGGAGCTGAGAGCCTCTGATTGTCTCTAGCAAACAGAGACCACCCAAGAAAATGCTGCTCCCAAGAAGCTATGCTTGACTTTGTTCTTTTATTTTAAGATCCCTTTTTAAGCCTTTGTCAGGCTTTACATGGAAATTCTTGCCCCAAGTTGGTGGCGCCATTTGTAGATGGAAGTTTCTGTCCTGCCTGGTCCCACAGTCACTTAGCCCCAAATAAACACACAGAGCCTTATATGAATTTATAAACTGTTGGTCAATGGCTGGGGCTTCTTATCAGCTAGCTCTGTCTTAATTATTAACCCATTTCTATTAATCTATGTATTGCCACAAGGCTGTGCCTTACCCATAATCTTGCATGTTACTCCT